GGAGTTTATGCTGTGCAATGGTCTAAAAATAATAATTTCATAGAATTTGGAAAATCAAATTACTGAAGGTAAAGATATAAGAATTGCAGGAGCATGATGATAAAAAGCAGACCAATTAATCACATATTTTAAAATGAAGAGTAACAAAATTCTCTTCTGATATATAGCAGAGTTGATAAGCAGAAGGTCAATCATAGAATTGGACTGCAGTAAGAGAGAACTTTTTATGGTTGTACTGTGTGTAAGGCCTTCACATTGCAAAGAGTTTTTACAGAATACATTCAAACATATTTTTGGTTTTGTTGTAGGAGGACAGGCTAAGGTGAACCATTAGAATTATTTTTAACACTTATCTATGGTTCTGTTTGATAAGGTTTTAATTGCACAAGACTGTACTTATTTTTCCACTGGGATTCTTACTGATTCATTTAGTAAGAGTTCACTGGGAAAAGCTGCTATAAGGATGGATTGGCTGTGTGCCTTATAGGAAGTGTCTGTCTTTTAAATATTGCTTCACTGGCAGCTGAAGTTGGGCAGTGTAGAGTCCATGCAGCAGGAAGAATTGGGGAATAAATCAGTGAGTCTTCTATTCCTACATGTGTGGAAATTTGACCAAATACTTGGACTGACTTCTTTCTCAAGTCTCAACCTCTGGTCTCAGCAAAGAGTTTCATTTTTTTAGGGACAGAAATCCAATAGAAAGTCAGGAACCCTAGTGGGATTTAGGAGTCGCAGCATGTATTTGGATGTGCTTCAACTGCCCCACTACTGCTTCTGTTTAAATTAATGATTAACATCTATTGATTTCAATGAGGTAAGAGCTACTTCAGTGTTCTTACGTGATTGTGAGCAAGCCACAGAAAATGAACTTTTCTACTGGCCTGAATAATTTTCGGGTAGATTCAGGCAGCTGTCTTCTGGAAACAGTCAGTGGAAATGCTACAGCAGAGTATCCTGACCCAGGCTGAGCACTGAGAAATTGTGTGCTCCTGATGGCTTGACTTCAGTCTTTATCATCTATCACATGGAATTTGTCAGTACCACTTCTCAGATGATTGAAAACTGCACTTAAGGACATTATAGAAGTGGATTATTTCTTATGATCTAAATTATAAGTGGGACAAAAGGTATAGGAGTTGCTCATTGAATGATATCAAGGGAGATAAATACTGCCTATCCAGCAGTTCTATAATCACCACCCATCCTCACAAATATTTTATTAAACTTGCCCTCTCTTGGCAATTTCAATTAGGTTCTAGTGATGTGGTCCCTGCTATTGACTTTGAGCTGATGCAAAAGAGCACACTGTGTTTTTTATGTACTTTCCTGGACAAATCTCCTTGTGTCTTCTCAGTGCTCCTATAAATCTTTCTCCTGTTTTTCCAGTTTGTGTGTTTGAGAGATCAGTCTAATCAGTTACCATGAATTTAAGGTACCACAATTAATCCTACTTTGACAGAGGATTGTGGGCTTATTTCATATCCATTCACATCAGTCTTGAGCTGCAATTTTCTCACTGCTTTTCTTTCAGCTTACTCAGTGTGGACAGGTGGTCTAAAAGAGAAGGGATGAAACTGTCTGTGCAGCTTTGGTGAATAAAGGTCCCCATGATGAAAACTGACCATATAGTATAGGTAGTATTTTCCATAGTATATAATTTATTACCATCAGCAGTGTACATTTCAGGAGTAAGTGACTGTGAATGGGCTCCTAGAGCTGATGTTTCTCTCATCTGACACTTCTTTTCATGTAGAAATCCCAGAGCTGCCCAGTGCAGGAGGCCACTAAGTGTGACATTTGGTGTGAGCATTCCCTGACTGCCAGCAGTGGTCAACACCAGTACCTCCTGTTTGCAGCAGGAAAGGCAGTCATGGGACCACCCACATCCCAAGGGTAACCCTGTTTAACTCCTGCTGGCAAAGGCTGGTTGTTGCTCAGACTCGAGGGCTTTTCCATCCTATAAAGCTCTTGAAGATCTTTATTGTTGCTTTGCTTTTACAGGGCTTACTAATAAAACTGGTTATTCTTCTCGCTCTAAATACATGTTTTCAAGCCACTGAGTCCACGGTGTGTTATATCTCCCAGAAATATTATATCTGGTTTTGTACACAGTTTAGGGTTTTTTAAGGTGTGTTCATCCAGTTTTGCATAGGCCTCTTTACTCTTTCACTTCTCATTGAAATTAAGTTTTGTGCTCTGTATGGGTTTTTTCTTTTCACTCTTAAAGGCTATGTTGTATTGGGTGCTGTGATTATTGACAAATTATGTTGATACCTGTTTTATCTGAAAGTTAAACTGGAATTTGGTCATTGCGGAAATAAATGCCAGCAAGAAGACTTTTTAAAACACAATGTGTGTGAATAGGTTTTAACTGAGAACTTAGTCTTGAAGGAAAATAGGCTTCTCAATTTTTAATTGATTAAGACAATTTCAATTCTTTTCACTGAATAAGAGTGAGAGCTTCATGGCAGAGGTAAAACTCAGCTTAGAAAAGGACATGAAGTGCCTTGAGTAAGGTAAAGACTTAAGGGATGCATGCCACTCCTCAATTGTACTTTATAGACAATCTATTACATTTTAAGGATTCACTTGAAAATGGGAAAATTTTGCTTTTCACTAATCATAAAAACTATGGGTTTGAATAACGTTGACTACTGCTGTGCTGAAATGTTGTGGTAACACCATGAAATCTGAGCAAAACCTTTGTAGCATACTTTTCAGTGTTAAATGAGTTTGCCAGAAAAACAAATGGGACTGTGCTGTGGTTGGGTGGGGGAGAGATGATGGAAGGAAAAGCAGTCAGGCCATAACCATTGCCTACTGCCAGATAAGCAGAAACACCCCTTGTGCTTTCCATGACTTCTGTAACTTGAGTCCTGAAAAGCAGGGGGAAGAATGGGACAGGACCGTGGGTAAGTGCTGTTCTCCACTTCGGGTGCTTGCCAATGCTCCCTTGGCAGTGTGGAGCTCTTGCCCAGCCTGGGAGATGTCAAGAGTGTGTCTCCTGGTGTGCACACCCCTGCCTCCTGGTCCCAAAGAACTGTGCCACTGTTCGTTGGAAGGTGTTGGAGGATCTCCCCAGCCTCAGCTGTGGCACCTCTGCGTGGGGATCAGTGACACCCTCTGAGTGCCCAGGGAGGGATGGTGCTCTCTCGGTTCTGCTCATGCAAGGTAAACATGGCCATGACTGCAGAGAAACTGAGGCTATGGCAGGTTATTAGACTAAGCCATGAATAGATAAGAATAACATTACAATCAGGGCTATAAACCAGCAAAATAGCAAAGGTCAGTAAGTTCCTTTTTGACTGAGGGGTATGCTGCCAGTGGGAAGAGCAGCAGACACCAGAATGCTGTGGGGGAAAGGGTCATTCCTGCAGCAGAGGGGTTTTGCAATTGTACCTGTCCACTGTTGTAAGACATACTGGAAAACTGCTTCATTTAGCTAAAACAAAACTTTCAGGATTGGGGGAAAGATTAAAATATATCTGCATGTACAGATGATTTCCAAGCTGAGAAAATATATTTTCAACTGTCACCTGGTGATATTCCCTTGGGTTCCTGGTTTTATGTTGATATATTGCATTAGTAATTGTTTGTTAATGATATGGAAATTACCATGCACAAATTTAAATTGCCATTATGAGAACTGAGGTTGACAGTATTACCCAGTACAAAATAGATAACGAGTATTATTTCAGGAAGAAGCAAAGGCAATTCAAGAAATCAGTATTTAATTTGCTTTGTACAACTGTATCCATACTAACATAGAGACTTGGTGTGCTCTGTGTTTGCGTGTTTTGAAATGCATATATTTCTAATGCTCTTTTTTAAGGAATAAAATACCAGAATGCAAACACTTGCATAATATTTAGTATATTTAAATTATCTTTATTTATCCTTTGTGGAGTGACTAATACTGTTAGCTGTTGAGATGCTTATATTGTGGTCAGAATTTTCAAAGCCACGCAGTGGCTTATTAATCCAGTTGAAGTTTTTGCAAAACCTGAGAGACTTACTCTTTGTAATGTAAATGATGTTGGGATGGATTTTGTAGCTCTGCAGTTTCCTTCATTTTTCTGAATTTCCTCCATTAACAAAAGAAGATTATGAAGTGATGAAGAGAAGATTATGCAGGAGCAGCAAAAAAAACCCAAAAAAACAACAAACAAACAAAAAAAAACCCAAACAAACAAAAAAAACCAAACTTTGTTGCCCTGGGTTGTATGGTTAGATATTTAGATAGTATCTAGTTGTGGAGGCAATAATATGTCAGAATACTTTTTTTGTATACTGATTCAATTTTTCATTTACAGATATTGTGTTGCTCTATTTTCAATTTTGGTAACTTTGTTTGATTTACAATGAAAAATTAATCTTATAAACTCCAGTGTTCAGGTAACAAGGAAGAGTGGAAAATCTTCATGAAAGAATAACAGCGATACAGTTGCTGCTTCTGGCGCTGAGCTGGCTCAGGTCTTGGCTGAGCCCTTTGGAGCCTCTGAGTTTGGAAAACATGCCTCAGTCAATAAACCATTCTGGTCCTGAGCTGGACAGTGTGAAAACTCCCAATGGGTGCATAGAGAACATGAATATCTGTCATCCAGGGCACTCAGCATGGAAACTGCAGAAGCACCAGGAGTGTCTGTGAAACTGAAAGATGGTGTTCATTTGATTTTGCAGACAAAATTAAGCCTTGGGCAGCTGCAGACATAACATGAGCCCTCCATGGTTATCACTGCTTTATCACTTTTGCTTGCTGCAAAAAGTGGAAGGATGGAAAATGGTACTAATTCCTCATTTGACAGCACATTACAGTAAAAAAAGTTCTCTTTCCTGACTTCTTCAAGAGACAGCCTTTTTCAAAGCATTCCTGTTTTGTTGAACTCTGCATACTCTTGTATGTATCACTGAGCTGTTTGTTTAGCAGCAGAAAAACACTGATATTTTGATGTAGAAAACCACGTTATGTTCATTTCTTTTGTTCTTTCATTACATTACAGGTACAGTAAGAATTGAAATGTTCAGGAACATGCAAAATGCAGAAATCATAAGGAAAATGACAGAAGAATTTGATGAGGTAGAGTATGCAAATAGTTGTTTGAAGCATTATGAAATATATTACCATATACTTTGTTTAAAATTAAAAATGCAATGGGCCAGTGGATAATTAATGTCTCAGTGTGGGGAACTGCACTGACAAGCAAAGCAGCAACTTCAGCTGTTGGATGCAGAATAACAGGGCAGAGAGAGGTTCATCAGAGCAGGCAGGAAGAGGAGCTGGAGAGCCCTCATCCCACCAACAGCAGTGGTGGCATTCTGGGTGCTGAACTTCAGCTCTTGGGAGCGCCGTTGTACAACAAAGATTCTTGACACATCAGATTCATGAGACAGGATTACAGCATTCTGCTCTGTTTTCTCTGTGCAAATTAATGTTTTGTGCATTTTAAATGGCAATTTAAACCAAATAGGAACTTGACATGAAAATTACCATTTTGGAACAGAGATGCAGAAAGTAATACTCTTTCAAAAGATCTAAGCATTTTGTTTGAAACGAGTAAATTACCATTCAGACCAGGTATCTTCTGTCAAAATAAAAGTGTTCCTAATGGTGAATGCTTTTTAGCTTTGAGATTTTTGAACTGTGTTTTCTTTGATTTTGTTGTATAAAAAGCTGAATATTTTGAGGGTTCGTTTTGTTTAGTGAGGAAAACTAAAGCTGGAGCAGGAATTTCTGTAGGGCAGCAGTATCCCTGACCTCTTCTAAATGAATGCCATGGCTGTGATTCAGAAAGTTAAGTAGGAAAACAATAAATACAAGAAATGCTCTTTTTCAGGATGTATTCATACACAATTTCCTTCTCTGCCACAGTCTTGAACAGCAAAATGTTTCAGTTAATTCCTGACTACAGCCATAGGGGTGCTCCTTTTGTTGGATGATTGTCCCATAGTTGATGAAGGAGTGTTTTTCAAAAAAACCTTTTTAAAAACTGTTAAAGTTTTTTCTCACAGGAGGAAAAAACCTCTTCCTATGAATGTACTTGAAAGCAACATCTCTAAAAAAGTTGCAGTTACTGGTAAATAGCCTTTCTTTCTCCATTGCCTAAAACTTTTCAGAACATCTATAGTTCTAAAAAACAGTTTGTTCTAGCTTCTGCCTTAACATTTGAATGGATTTGTGAAAGAATTGTGGGGCTTAGCAACCCAATGAATATTTTGAAGTCTGGAATAAACTGTTGGCACCTGTAATAGCTCCCTCAGTACCCCAGAAATCCCAGACTTCCCATTGTTCCATGAGTGCTTTAGGAATTAGTTGGCTGCAGGCCTGAATTTTTCATTTATGGCAGGGATTGAAGTATTGATTTTCCTCCTCATGAGTGGAGAAATGCTTGTGCAGGATGTAAATGATGGAAATAACTTTGTTCACAAAGTTCACTTTGGGACAGGGAATTCTATGGACATCCATTGGCTGCATTGTTTGGCTGCTTGGCTTAGGAGTGCAGGTGTGTTGTAGATGAATTCCTTCATAATTTTTGTGCTAGAGCTGGCAGGTGAACAAAAACTTGGGTTTACTTAGAATTTTCTAGGCACTGGGCCATCAAGTGTTGTGTCAGCATCACTAATATATCCCATTTTTATTGGTATTCAAGAATAGAAGATCCATGAAGTGACTTTATTGTAAGTTTATTCTTCTCATTTCAGCCATGAAGTGTTCATGGTAGTCTTCATAGGCTTTTCAAAAGAGTTGTCTGATAGGTACTTGTAGGTTAAAAATACACCACACAGAGGTGAGTAGTTACACACAGCACTTCAGATTATGAGGATCTGTTCCAAAACTCTGCATATACACACACCTCAAGGAAGCATATGTTATATACCAAAGTTCACATGTAGAGATCCTTTAGGTCATTTTGGTGTGGTTGAAATGGGTGTGATTTGGTTAAATGTGATGGCTAAAGGGTTTTCTGTAGGGGAATGTTGTTTATGAAGCTCAGATTCAAAGTTGTTTGATTGCAGCTCCTCTGTGCTGACATTGCTGCCTCTGTGTGTTTCAGTCTGGGTGATAAGTCCTTAGAAGGAAAGTGTGTGATTTTCAGAAAACCACAAAGAAATGTATACAAATGGATGTAACTTTGGTACTACTGACTTCTTATGCTGGCTGAGAGATTCAGGGTGGAGCATTACTGCCTTGATGTTTTGGATACTCTGGAATTGGCTTGCAAATCAAGTGGTCAGGGAGATTTATACTCAGGCTTTTTCACTGAGGGGGGAAAAAGCATTTTCTGATTGTGGAGGAACAGTCCCTCTGTAATGCAGTGAAGGTAGTAAGAGCAGACCTGCAGAGGCATTAAATGAACATGCCTAGTCCAGTCTTGTAATAATATTCTGAAGATGAAGTGTATGAATCTGTAGTAAAACTTCATTACTGCTATTAGAAGGCAAGTTTTACCACTAGAAAAAGGCTTCATTTACAAGATAAAACAGGGTGGTGCTTGCTTTCTGATAAGGAAACTGTAAGCTTGAGTAAACCATACTCAACTGTAAGCTCAAGCAAAGCAAAGTTTGGGGGGAGGGGCAGCCAGCTGATTAGACTATTAAACCTGAAGTGGGGATGGAGAATGACACAAACTGTCCATCACACAAGCCTTTTTTTAAGTTTTGACCTTAAATACTTTGAAATATTCCTGTCTCATCCTTTACTCCCACTTCCTAACCAAGGATACTAGGAATAGAATTGAGGCTTGATACTTATTTTGGACTCTATGGAGCCAATACTGCAAACAGTTACAATGATATCTCTACAAAAGTGGATTCATGCCAATGAGCCTCCATGTTTATTGAAGAATAATGTGTTGTTTTTATTATTTTCCTTTGGCTTGAAGGAACAAGATGATGTTTATTTTAGAACCATAGACCATAGTGGCTACACCAGCATTAAAATAAATCAAATGGAAAGACCTTTAATACTTGATTTTTTTTTTCTTCTGTTGTTCTGCAGGACAGTGGTGATTATCCCCTGACCATGCCTGGCCCTCAGTGGAAGAAGTTCCGTTCCAACTTCTGCGAGTTCATCGGGGTGCTGATCCGGCAGTGCCAGTACAGCATCATCTACGACGAGTACATGATGGACACGGTGATCTCGCTGCTCACCGGCCTCTCCGACTCGCAGGTCCGCGCCTTCCGGCACACCAGCACGCTGGCCGGTGAGTGAGCTGCCCAGCAGGGCTCTGTCACACAACTTGCTACTGCTTATCCACTGCCAGGAGTACTTGTAATTTGGATTGAGGTGGACCCTGACCAACATTAAAACTGTGGGAAGCTTCATCAAATCCAAGTACCACATACGGTACAACTATACTTAAAATACTCCTTTTTTATTTGCAAAGTAGTGTGCTGAGGCACTTAGGGATTCCTGTCATCCCCAGGGCCTCCAGTGAATCCTGATAATCACAAGTGGTGTGCTTATGTCTTATATTTTGTTATTAATTGTTCACTTGTTGTACAGAATGTTGGAGTAATTATATATTTTAGAGTATAAATTTATTCTGAAGAAGTGTCAGGATAGTTGTATTATCAAAGAGTTTCCATTCACCAGAAAAGATATTTTGTGCTTCTGGAGAAGCATAAAGTTTGGGATTACTGGGCCATTGTTGTAGGGCTCGCTGTATTCTGCCTGCAGCCACACCGCCTTCAAGTGCAGCTGCCTCACTGAAGGAAAGCCCTGGTTGTATCATTAGATAGAAATGGGCTTTCCCTGTGTATTTCATCACACCTGTATGAGATGTCTTCTCTAAGAGGGATGAATTGCTCTCCACAAGGAACTGTTTTTTTCAGTTACAAAGCACTACCAGAGTGGCTGGCTTGGATGTAGATGTCTACAGCTGGTCCTGTCAGATGATAATCGATTGTATTGCAAGGTTCATAGATCATACCAGATATTTGAAACTCTTAGAGCAGATATTTGTCATAATCTGAGGGTTTCTGTGGCCAGTATTTATTACTATTTAGTCTTTCCACAATCAGCCTTCAAGACATTTTTTCAGTTTCAAGTGTACCAATACCCAGTGTTAAACAAATACAGTCAGAATTTATTTAAAATTTCATCTCTTGTTATGAATCAAAGAAAGAGGCAAATTTCCAGTGATATTGAAAAAACAACTCTAGATTTGAGTGGATTTTGATTTTAAAACTGAAACCCAAGCCCTTCAACTCACAGTGACTGAACTCCTTTGGAAACACATTCCCTTGTGTTCTTCACCATAATTAGCAATGGGATGGTAAAACCATGAACTATGCAGGCTTAGCTTCCAGGTTTGGAGTTTCCTCTTCAAATTCAGTATGCCAAGGTGAGCGCTCTTTGAGCCTAGATAACCTGCTGGAAATCCATGCTTGTTATTTAAACCATATTCCCTTCTTTCTGATGCTGTCTGCAGTTCTGGGTGGTTTTGATTTGCTGTTTGCTCAGACTGTGGTTGATTAGTTCCTAGGGAAGAGTTTATGGAGTGAGGTTTGCACTCCGGTCCCTGAGATTGCTTGGTCCATCCCTGCATAGGTCAGATGTTTGGGAAGTATGCAGGGCTTGATTAAAAGACAGGAAACACAAGCACTTACAACAGTTATTTCCCAAGACCTGTGCTCTGTAGAATAAAGAATTTCCACTGTTTGGAATGGATTCTGTAACTAGAAGCTTGCAGCAAGAATAAGCTGATGCTAAAGCTGATGTTCATCACAACTGACTTCAGTTATTTCAGCCACTGTTGACTTCTGGTATTAATGACACGTTTATCTAACATTGCATCATGGATGGGAGCTGCCAAAGATCTCAACATTTGCCAGTGATAATACATGGCATTTTTTTATTTATTTGCTTGCTGTAGCAAGCTTGAGGCTTTGCTTTGATTATACAAATTTCCTTCAAGTTGTTTTTAGCACATTTAATTGGGTTGCAGTCCCAAAGAGCAGAGGTCAACATGATGCCATGGAGCTCAGTCTTGATCAAGTTTTTGAAAATCTGCTTATAGACTGTCTTGAAGGAATGTTTGTAGGTCTTTGTTTTCAGTTTTCATCTATGCTAGTCAGTTGGAATGAGAGATTATTCACTGTAGGAAGAAGTACCTGTAGGTTCCCAGTTTTGAGCTATAGCAATGTAAATCAATCCAAGGCAACCTCACTTCTCCATTTGTGTGGTTGCTTTTAGAGAAGCATGCAGAGAGGATGTGATAGTTTGTTGAATTATTTTTTTCAGTATTGTAAAGTGTGTTGCACTATGCAACCACACAGAACTTGGGGAAGACCCTTATTAATGTTTGTTGTAAAAATAAATTTTAGTACCAAAAAGCAGACACGAACACTATCATATCCAGTATGTGTGAAAATAAAAATTGCATTTTTATATGGCTGTACAGCTGACTTTAGAGCAGTGTCAGACCTACATTCAGAGAAGCTGTGCTGTGGTCCCTTGTGAACTGAGCCATCCTCAGCAGCCATTGGTTAAGGTCACCCTTAGTATGAAGCCATCTCTGCTGGCACTCTTCTGTGCAGAAATGGCTGTAGCTCCCCAGCAGCTGCCTTCATGGTGCCCTGATGCTGCAGGCTCAGGTTCTGGCTCCCTGGTACACTCAGAGCTTGTCTGGAGAAGACAGCAAGGAGCACTGCCTGCAGCTCAGTGTGGGATATAGACTCTGCTTTCTGACCATGGGCCAGTCACCTGGGTATTGCCTGCATGGAAGTGCCTATCCAGATGGCTGTGCCAGGGTTGAGAGGCTTTTTGCTGTGAGTATGGATCTGCTGAGGAAATATTTTCTGAGCTCTGACTACAGGTAAAGAGTCATAATCTGTCTTGTGCCTTTGCAGCTATGAAGCTTATGACTGCTCTTGTGAATGTTGCCTTAAACCTGAGCATTCATCAGGACAATACACAGAGGCAGTATGAAGCTGAGAGAAACAAAATGATTGGCAAAAGAGCAAATGAAAGATTGGAGCTGCTGCTTCAGAAAAGAAAAGAGGCAAGTGAAAAGACAATTTTTTTTTTTTTACTGGTTCATATGCATTCCCTCCAACAGAAAGCCCAGGGTGGTTTGTGACTTGAGTACCACAGTGAGAAAGAAGTTAGTTCTGCAGTGGTGTTTGTGTGATCTCAAGCAGACTACTTAAATCCTGTACTGCCACATTCAGTTGAGTTTGTGGTGCTGTTTTGCGCGCAAAGGAGAATTCTGTTCTCAAGCTTCTATGAATGATCAGGCAGGAAGAGTCTCAAGCTGTAAGCAGTCACTGTTCTGGTGATGCAGAAATATTCTAACAAGAGGATCACACATTCCCTCCCTGCACTGCCCAGTTTTCCCCTTAATCACTGCAGTTATTCCACAGTGTCTCATTACTACTTCTTTTTTAGCTGCTTTCAGGAAAACTGTGGAGTTGAGGCTATAGGACTTGTTCTCAGGGAGAAGGAGCTAGGGAGATGTTAAAGTTGCCCTTAGTAGGGCAACTAATGCCTGGCATTAGGTGAGAAAAAAACATTAGATGGTTGCTGTAATCATCCCTAAATAAAATATTATATCACAGGAAATTTCAGTTCTAGAGATATACTTAAATTTAAAGAGGACAAGTAGAAAATTAATACACATACATCCAAACAAACATAACGTATAAAGAAACCAAGTAAAACTCATAAGAGAAATTGAAAAATCAAAGTTTGTATGGCTTAGATTTAAATTTATTATTTTTAATATATTAGTTTTGAATTTTCTCCACCACTGTTTTACTCTGGCCATTAAAAATGCCTGGGTGTTTTGCCTGTGAGCACCCTGAATTCCTTAGGTAACTTTGACTCAGAATTGCTTGACTTTGTAGTCTTTGGGGATAATTACAATTATGTGTTTCTATTTTACCCCTGTGATCTGTAGCACAACTTTATTTGGTTTTCATACTTCTTAAAACCATGTATTAAGGTACAATGCAAGAACAATCTCTCCTTCCAAAACTGTGAGAGAAACATTTTTAATTAAATACTAAATTGAATGTGAGTTCTTAAGCATTTTTAAAAGCAAAATAGCTGGAACAGAGTTTGTATTCTTGTATTCCATATTCGTTGTTTGAGCTTTGAATTTGCAGAGAACAAAGGCACTAATTGCACTGATGACCTTGAGCTGGTGCCTCTGTGCCTGTTCCTCCAGTCACTTTTTCAGAGCAGCAGGACATCCTCACTCTGGGGAGCTGTAGCAAGGATGCCCAGGCTGGGGAGCCTCGACAGGAGAAAGAGCACTTCTTAGTCCTTACCTTTGGCTCTGTGTGTTCAGGGGGCACTCATCTTACTGCTCATGACAGCTGAGCAAGGCATTGCCTGGGAATATCCAGATTGAGTATGTCCATGGGGTTTAAGCACACCAGGGTCACCTGGGCAGAAGAGATCTGTTAGGATTAGATTACTTAATGCTCTGTGGAAGAATTCCTGACATAATACTGTATATTCCCAGTGTTTAAATACACTGAATTGACAGTGGCATTCTGTGCTGGCACTTACTCAATTGATTCTTTGATGAAGTGCCATCCTAACAACCCCTCCTGAGCACATACACACACATGCATGTGTTGGTCTTCATGAGCTGATAGAGGGACAGTTTACCAGCTGAGTGTGGCAGGTTAGTCTGAAGCAGAGGAGATGGAGCACTTCCTGAATTGTTTTATTCTCAGGCCATCATATGCAAGACTGGTGGGAGAGCCATGCATGGAGCTCTGTCTTAGCAATGAGATTTTCAACTCAAGTGGATTATTTATGTAGCAATATGCTGCAAAGCAGAGAAAGTTGTCTTTTTAGTATCTGCCAGCAATAATTCAAATTTTGTGTTTGTCCTACTGTCTTTTTGAGCTTCCAAACCTGCTTGCAGAATCAGCAAGAGAATGTTTCCCTCATTTTTTACCTCTTGTTTAAGAGGGGGAGTGTTAAATAATTTTTGCATTGGTAAAAGGAGGAATCCCAAGATACAGATGCTCTCTCGAGATACTTGAAGTTAAGCACTTAGATTCAAGTGCATGATTTAAAAAACTTGAAACTGCAGAAAGCAGTTAGAGTTTCAGAGAAAATTCATTACTGAATCTAAAATACATTTGAGAATTATAGCTTTTAAACGTTAGTTAAAAGGGATCTCACATGGACCTACTGAATTTCTGATTCTGCTTCCACACCATCTGTGCCCCAGCACCTGGATACCTGTACCAGATGATAATTTATCATGTTTATACTGAACTGTAAAGTCTGTGCAGAAGAAGAGAGAGGAAGCCATCTGTTCTGTCCCTTCATCTATGCTGCTCAGCCTCTACCATGCTGCTTCACTTTGCACTCAGAGAGATGTCCAAGTACACTTTTTTCAGAATCTCAACTTTCTCATGGCTCAGAAAGTCCATCCTCTCCTACCTGTCTTCTGTGGTATGGTTTTATACCAAGAAATCATTCCCGAGTTCTCTGTGAGCTCTGGTAGCTACCAGAGGCCTCTTTAATTCTCATCTTCATTTTATTGCACAGCCTGTGCTAGGCTGTCTCTACCTCCATGTTGCTGTGGATATTTCCCTGTCTGTAGCCTGTGGAGTCATCCAGCTGAGGAGTGATTAGGAACTGGCAGTCCCCTTTGGGTTATGAATTCTCAAACAAGCATTTAGTCTGTGCCTGTTTGGGTTGAGTTGATGCTGCAAATAGTGCTTTTCCCAGAGGCCATGTCTAAATATGCTTGGTTCATGTATGCAGAGCTGGTGTGGACCCAGCTCTTCCCTTTGTACATAATTCCTTCTACTGTGAAATTAGTTTCTTTGGCAGCCTTTTGACAATTTAGTCAAGAGCCCTCAATGCCTTGGTTTCTCCACATGCAAAATGAAGACAGCACCTCCTTATGCTTTAGTGAACTGGGAGGCTTCATTCCCTGAGTTCTGAAGGTACTTCAGCTCGTACCTGGAAGATACAGTAGAAATATTAGGCTGAAAAATAGAAGCCCTTAGGTGAAAGTGTTTCAGAGCTCATGCCATGCAGGAGGCCAAACCAGCTGATCACAATTTTGCTTCTGGCTTTAAAACCTTTTATCTGTTAAATATATACATCCATAATTATACAGATTTAATTATTTTATGCATATGTGCATTACACTAGCAAGGCTCTGTTGTGGTTTTCCTACTGTGAGAGTGTGGGCAAATTTACATTCCCACATTGTGGTGCTATACTTGGACTGTAATGGACACCTTGATGGAAGAATGATGGCTGCTCCAAAAGCTGATAGGATAAAATTGGTGTGTTATCTTATTAACAAAGATGCATTCTTGTGATTTAAGTTATACTTAGTTTAGTACAAGATCTGACAGTATGAATTCCAAGTTGTGTTAACATTTTAATTGACACAAGGTAAGCTTCCCATAGTACTTGCAAAATGTGCTCATATTACCCAGGAAGTGAAAAGATTTTTTTTTTAAAGTGCTCTTATTTATAAAAGCATGCTCATAATAGCTTTTCATTTGGAAGTGGGTTTGGTTTCTTATGGGCTAAGACTTGGATGTCAGATGTGCTCTGGTCCTGGAAATCTTCCTATTTCTGAAACCCAGTTATTGTGGGTGCTGAAGTTCAAGCAACTGACAGTCTTTTACTTAAGATTGAGAACGTCTTCAACTCCTTTTATTTTAAATAGAACATAAATTTTATCAAACTAATCTGTAACCAGCCTTGTTTCTGCAGCCGTCATTCATTCAGCCCTGTTTCCCTGTGAACACAGCACTGCTGAAATTACTCCACACATTGTCTCTACTTGTCTCATTTTCAGTAGCAAAAGTTTATGATTAAATAATTAATTAGACTAAATTGATGTTTGTAGTGAATGTTAATTTTCTTCCATTAAGATATTGCATATATAATGTAAATAATTGTATGTATATGCACACAGTATAGGCATGTGCTGGAAAAGCAGAAATTGTAAATTTATTCACAAGTGCTCTTCCAAGGTGGTCTAAGGTTTCCCAACAGGGAATTGTAGAATACCAAATTATAGTAAGCAATGATCTTTTATTTATTTTATGTTTTCTTTTTTACAGCTACAAGAAAACCAAGATGAAATCGAAAATATGATGAACTCTATTTTTAAGGGTATATTTGTTCATAGATACCGGTAAGAAATTGTATGTTCCAGTAGGCTCTGCTAACAAAGTGTGTCCATAAGGAAAGTCCAGGGCAGTTTCTGGGTTGATTTTCTTCTCATGTAATATTCTAGATGCTGCAGGATCACTGTTAAAGACACTTGAAGTTATGGAAGAATATACAAATTGTAATTAATTACTCAATAATTTACAATAATTTAGAAAATATTTTTACAAAATATCTTTACTGAATATTACTAATAATAATTACTCAATAGACCCATCCACACAACTTTATTTTGATTCAGTAGATAGCTTTAAAGGGTTGTGGGAGACATGGGTTTTGAATCTTTGCATTTTGAAAAGAAAAATTGTCCATGTTGAAAGCACAAAAATGACATATCTTAAGAATAATCAAATAATTACTGTGTATCATAGGATAGCAGTTGTCCTTCAGCCTGTATTTCCTTTTGCATGTCTTGGGTGTAAACAGGAAATTTGGAATATGATTTACCAGAGAGCAACAGTCTTTTAAAATAGATTTAGGGTTGTTGTGCGTCAAAAGATGCCTCAGAGCATCTGCAGCAACCAACTCTTTAAATGTTAATTCACTTGTTGAAATCAAAAGATAAAATTCCAGGGTACCAAACTATGCAATTAACCTCTCAGATTTCAGTTCTGTTTTAAAGGGTTATAATTTATTGAATCTTCTAGGAAACTGGCAAAAAAAAGGGTGTATGAGAAGAGGGTTAGAAGGTGAAGAGGAACCCATAGTTTAGATTGTAATTTGGACAAAAGCACACAGGAAACAGGGAGGTGCTCATGCTGACAAATGTGTGAGTGTGAGCTGCACAGTGGGGTTAGAAAGTGTCTCCTCAGTAGCCAAGTGTGGGAAGAAGTTCCTGGTTTATGGTCAGGAAGCCTTGAGCAGCTTGGCAGCAGGGAGATGGGTATGCAGAGCCAGCAGGTACATGAGTGTACTAGATCAGTGTAGCACTCACAACATTTTGTAAGAAGAGCAGCTTTCATGATGGCATAGATAAAAAAAGCTGAAGAAATTAAATTCTAAGAGTGTTTCCATTTTTATCTCTTCAGAACTTAGTGTATTATTTCAAGCAAAACATTGCTTTAAAATATCCTCTTGGTAGTTCCTGCTCATGTGTGGGATTGGAAAAAGACTCAGCCTTTTGGTGGTTTGCATTCTGGTGATTTTGCTTTCTCTTTTGAGATCCTCCTTTTGTAAAAAAGTTTCTTTTCATGCCTCCTGCCACCACTAGTAAAGACCTGATTTTGCTGATGTTACTGTAAAAAAGGAGAGACCAAATTAATAAACTCAGTCCATGTCCTGGAAAAAGGTGCCCATGGGTGGTCGTGTTAGACCAGTGGGGAATTGACTGAAATCAGACAGGTGGTGGCACCACTTGAGCCACTATTCAGAGGGGTCAGGAGGAACCTGTTGCCACTCTGCCCCCAGAGCCACCTGTGTGAACACTAGCCATCCCTGACCTTTTGGGGACCCCCAAAGAGTCTCTTACAACATGGTACACAACAGAGAGCCCAGAGTGACACTCCTGCACTCACAGCAGGATGAGAAAACAGAGGGGGGGAAAATGTCTGTGTGAAACCCAGTTAATTGACAAAAAAGCCCAGGGGGAATAAAATGTAAAGGATTGTAAACTATTATCTGCTTTCATAACTTCTTAGTTTCTTGAACCTTCCTTTTCTCAAATAGTTAAAATTATTTATAAACTTCACATGATTTTACAGGCCTTCAACCATGCACAAGTGGTGATAATTTCTAAAGAACGTTATTTTAATTATTTCCAGAGAATAAGTCCTGTCCTTTAATATGATTCAAACTTGGCCACAGTGATTCATGCGCTTAGTGACCTTTGTGTCTTAAATAACAACTCTTTGACCTAAACAAAACTCCCAAAAGTGTTTCATTCAGAATGTGTCTTCTGACAAGTGTTGCAGTGAGATTACATCTTCTTTCTGTTGATTAGCTTCCAATTTACTGAAAGATTCAGTCTTCACTTCTCTCATCAAGGGAAAAAATTGCAGAAATAGCTAAATAATTTTCTTGCTATAATGCTAGTCTTGTGTGAACAGCAGATTTGGTCAAAAATTGAGTATTCTAAGTAATCATGCAGGAAATGTTCCCACCTCACTGCATGTTGCTTTTTCTCCTTCCTCAGCCATTTGTTGTCACTAAGTTTCTATTAAAAAAAAAAAAAAAAAGAGGTGAGGTCTATTTCTGCATTTTAGTTGTATCTCATATCAGAGATAACTGAATCTGAGATAATTGCCACACCACTGCTCAGATGTAATGAGTATTATAAAATGTTCACCCCTCTAAACCATTATCTTAATCAAGGTGTCAGAGTTTTGGTTTGGCTCTTTCCCTGCACAGGACTTAGCACTGTGTGTCCAGACACATTCCCCTTTCAGAGGGCAAGATTGAGAGATCTCAAATTCCTGTCGTATTTCATAGTATCTTTTTTGTTTTGAGTACTTAAACACATTTTCCTCCAGGTATGACTGTCCAGAAAAACAGAACTGTTACAGTTTTAGCTTATGGCAGACCAGAATAATCCTCACACTGATGGACACAGTGGGTGTGAGAATTTATGCAGGGCATGAGCCTGTCCCGAGGTAATGTGTTGTCAGTACTGGCAAATAAGGTAAACCTTGCCAAATCTAGATGGCATTGCCATTTTTATGGAGAAGATGCTTCTGTCTCCTTCCAAGGTGTTCCTTTGCCTAATACAGAATAAATAGGCTTATGCTGATATGGGAATTCCACTGTGGGAAACAAGACATGGCAAAAAGGAAGAAGGGATTATTGGATGGCAGTTTTGTGAGGAAGCACAAACCAGTCAGCACAGGGAAATAAAATCTAAACCAGACCAGAGTAAAATCCTTCTCCCTGCACCCTAAATGTTTTATCCTAAGGAGGCAAAATGTACTTATTTTTTAGGTGACAAGGAAATGGATTAGGTATGTTTGAAAAAACAGACAGAAATTACTGGTGTCACTTATAGGCATAAAAAAAAAAGAGAAGGCAAAAAGTTGAATCATTTAATTTATGTGAGTTTGACCTTTCTATGAAGTTTAAAAGCACACACTGCTCCCTTCCCTGCAGAGCTGTGCCTTATACTTCATTCAGGCAAAGGTGCTGGGACAGGAACTCTTTGAGAAGCACTGGAGTCACAGATCCATAAAGCTGCATCTCAGAATCCATGTCATACCTTCAAACAATTAATTCCTTGGCCTGGCAGGAGCACTGGATATTCAGCCTAGTAACAGGTTATTGGAATAGATATTTAAATAGCCACTGTGCACAGAAACATTTAGGAGTGGAAGTGCTGTGTGCAGCCCCTCCCATGAAGGGGATATGCAGCAAGCATTCACCAGAACTTTTGGAAGTTGACTCTGAACTCATGCTTTTCTAACCCTTTTATGGGGTCCTAATTCAGCTCCAGAGACGAGAATCACAGAAAAAAGTAGAAAAGGTATTTTTGTCCAGTTGTCATTATAATTGCATCTTCAAAATGTTTCTCAACTGATAAGCAGCCCAAGAGATGGGCCCAGTTCTGTCCAAGTGGCAGTGGTGGGGTCCTGTGCAGCTGCTTCATTTCCTGTCCTTTGGGTGGGAGTTTGAGCTTCCATCCCACAGAAAGCCTAAGGCAGTGAGTCATCCTTGGTTCTATCCTTGTTAGAAAATTTTCCTATAGACTAATTCTCAGCCCAACACATTGACTGAAATGTCTGTATTTTTCTGTTCATACTGGTTTGCCTGTTGAGTAATATCACTGTCTTCTGATGGTTATCTGCAGTTCTGGCTGTCTCAGAACAGGGTGTAAGAAGCAGCATCTCCAGTGGTTAGGTTGGACAAGCAGGTGCAATGAGAGTGGTCAGGCTCCTGTAGGAGCTTCCAAGAAGTCTTGAAGCAGTTCCTGCTCTGCTGGTCATCCCCAGGTTGTGCCTTGGTCTGACTCAACACTGGCAGTGCTGCAGGATGTGAGCATCCAGGGCATTGTACATCAGGTTTGCTTAGAGGGCTTTCAGTTTAGTTGTGATTAACCTCATGAGTTTGTGATTAAATACACTGAAAGAACCTGTGAGCTGAAGCTGACAACCACCCCAGCAACCCTGAGGAGTACACTGCTCTGCACCTGACATTTCCCAAATATCCATCAGAGACTCTGTGACTCAATTCCTGAATGCTTCTGGCCTTAATCACAATTCTTGTGTGTACTTAGACATGAAAGGTACACTGAAGTGTCACTTGGAGTGGTGCTGGTAAAATCTGTTTCCTGATGCTGCTGTGGTTTGTCCTAAAGTTTATGGGCATGCCTCGTCAAGCCAAAATTTCAAAAGGAAAAGCAGAATTTCTTACCTGAGCCCTTTTTGTCAAATCCTTTCAGAAGTTGCATCATGGAGGATCTCTTAGGCTGTGAATTGTGCTGCAAATATTTTCACCTTGTAGATCTTTCTTTGCATTTTGTGCTGAAAAGAGGGTTAAAATATTTCATATCTAAGATCTGTAAATGCCATGTTAGTTTTCATCTCTGTGCTGGACTAGATTCTGTTTCTTTCTAGAAGCATTTGGCAAGTAATACAAACTTACATCACTGATTTATAGTTAGGATAATTAATAATGCATTCATTATTCCAAAAACACTTCCAGTGTAGGTATAATTAATATTTCTATGTTCTTTTTAGTGTTTATATGTTCTTGCCATCCAGAAATAATGTGTATTTTCAAAAACCTAAACAATTCATAGCGACCAGAAGCTAAAATGTATTTAATTGTATAAAAAACTAGAAGAAAAGAATGACAGTTTAATGACAAGCAATTACCACATTGAAAGCAAAAGTACAAAGATTTTTTTGGCTGTATTGAGTTTGATACAGCATTGTATGGGCATGGAGTCCATGTTAGTGATTCCTGCAGGAACACAACTGATTCTGAGCAGTGATGGTTACCTGGAAGCTGCTGTGGAGTGGGGAGTGGTGTCTCACAACTTCCCCTGATTCTCCAGCAGCTTGAGTCTGTTTGCTGGTCTCACATGCCTTGTCCTTGATTCTGTCTCATTTTCAATTATACTGGAGATGTTAAATTCTTACTATACCAAATCTCCTAATAAGTTGAATAGCTTTCTTCTTTCTTCTTCCTTTTTCTTTTTTTTTTTTTAATTAACAGCTTGGAGTGAGTGTCTGTAGTGCTGAGGGATCCCTGAGAAGGCTTTTGAATAAAGAAGCAGATTTTCACTGTCTGCCTAGGGAAGCTTGAATGCACTCTTAGAGAAAACATGACTTTTTCTGCTTTTTGGCTGGCTGTGCTGCATGATTAAATAGTTGTTGACATTTAGGTTCTTTTTGGAATTGCCATCCAAAATCCTTTACAGTTAGTAAATTTATAAGGTGATGAAATAACTTACTTGGATGTGAGGACTCAGGCTGTCATCCCCTAGTAAGAATGTCTTCCTTACTACTCTGTGTTGCTGCAGATGTGGCTCCACATTTTCTATTGATTTATATTTACTAGTCTTTTAGGTTTTTCCTGTAAGTCTTGCATTTGTCCACCTATATTTTCCTTTTTAAATAGTTTAAAAGTGACTCTATATAAGAGAATTGCTAATCTAGTTTAGTGTGAAGCAATGTACAATTAAACACACACACATGTATATATGTGACTACAATAATTGTTTTAACTCAAACTTGTCTTCATTATGGGTGCCTTTCCCATAAAGAATGCAGTTTTTAACCCTTGAGTGTGATATTTAGCACATTGGTCCTTGCACTACTTAAACCTGTTTGAGAATCCCTACTAGGAGCAACTTGTTTGATGCCCTGCCCTGCTCCTAGTGCAGCTTGTCTCCATTTACCTTGGTTCTGAGGTTACAGAGGATTCAGGAAGCTGGACAGACCAGGTTTACAGATGCTATTAGGAAGTTGTTAAAATTAATGTTTCTCCTAGGTAGGGAGAGACAAAGGCAGTGGTTTGATGGCATTCACACAGGTGTACCCCTCAGGTTATTGCATTAAATGCATTACATGCTGTTTATGCTTTCCTGCTGTTGCAGCAGTACAGTTTCCTCCCTATTCAAACACTGAGACTTGCCTGGAGAAGTCCCCCTGGCCTTGTGTGATGCTGGGCATGGTTCTTGGTCCCTGTGGGAGCTGGGGTTCCAGCTCAGGGACTGCAAAGTCAGGGGCAGGACAAAGGCACTGGATCAGCTGGGACAGCCTGCAGGAGGCAAGTACGTAGTTCCAGTATGGACTCACCAGGGGCTTGCTGCTCTGGGTTAGGGCTATGAACCTGTGCAGTGGCTTGACCAGAAGAGTGAGGTAATTTTATTTGTATTTTGTAAAATTAGTTACTTTCAGAACAGTGCAGTTTTTCATTTTTGCGATTATTCTCTTGCTTGAAGCTTGGAATTTTTCTTTCCTTCCCATAAGTTTAATTTCATTTTGTGCCTCTGTTGGTCTGGTTTAGAATTAAACTGATGTTTATTACTTTTCCAAGAAGACTTTTTTTTCATAAAAATACAAAACAAGGGTCTCAATTACAAGCAAGTTCCAGTGTTTGCAAAGCACCAGACATTCCCATCTTCTGTGCAGTGACTCTTTGTGTTCTTCTTGTATTACAGCTGAAATTTGGAACTGTGAGGCAGTGCCAGATGGAGTGGCACAAGTGATTTCTCATGGTAACAGATGTCCCAGAGATGGAATTACTGAAGGGACAGATGGCCCCCATCCCTTTTCCTGTTGTTTCAGTATTAGTAAAGATGCCATGCTCCATGTCAGGCAGGCAGGAAAGTGCCAATCAGATGGAAAGCATTTCCATCCCGGTCTCCTTAGGTGACCTCTCCAGTTTCCTGCCACCCCTCCTCACTAAGCAGCTGATAGGTCTGCCTGAGATATCTTTGCTGACTTGCCACAGTCAGAATGTAGGATAAAAGCAAGAAAATGGGAAGAAACCAATGCTGAAGTACAAAATTCCCATGGGTTTCGTTGTAGGAGTGTTCATGGGGGTTAGGAAATGAGATCTCTTCATGCAACAAATGCCACTGTGCTCCTCTGGCAGGTGCCTTTGACTAAACCAAATAGCTTCTCCCACCTTGCAATGCTTCTGCACCTCAAGCTGGAGACAGGGCTGCAAAGCAAATGTCAGTGATGGTGTTTCAGAAATGATTGCCCAGAGGAGGTTTGTAGCTTGGGTTCACAATTCTCTTTGAAAAGAGAAAGGTTAAAGATGGAGTAATAGACTAAGAAGCAAACTAGGGTGAGAATTTTTTTATGTAGAGGAAGTGCAGGAGCATATATAAACACTGAAATTATTACATCAGTGAGTTCAAGGATGTATAGGAACAGAAAATCAGTGAGATGGCAGTAAGAACAGTGACAGGCCACACATAGTGGGGTTCATGATAAGTAAAAGCAAAATATTATAACTATGGGAATGAGAAGTATATGTCTGTAATGTGGCTAATCCTTGTTCTTTTCTTTTTCTATATTAGTGATGCTATTGCTGAGATTAGAGCTGTCTGTATTGAAGAAATTGGTGTCTGGATGAAAATGTACAGTGATGCCTTCCTGAATGATAGTTATTTAAAATACGTTGGTTGGACACTACATGACAGGGTGAGTATTGTGTATTCTCACACACAGCAGAGTGTACTGGAGGCAGCTCGGCTTACAAAGAGATTGTTGTGTTTCCTCACCTGGTATCCTTCAATCAGGTCCCTTCCAGGTATTAAATTAGGAGGCAGTACTCCCAGTCTGCTTGGTCCATGTGCTTTTCATGTGGTCAGTCTCTGATGAAGTATCTTGACAGAAATCCTTACATGGGGCTTTTTTGTTGTTTACAAGAGAAAGAGAAGTCTCAGAGCACCCCTGACAGCCTCTGTGTCTGAAGCAGAATGGAAAAGGGATTTCCATGTTTCCATTTACATTGCCCAAAGGTTAGAGGAAAAAAGGAGATCTCTGGGTCCTCAATAGACATCATTGGTTCCAGAACCAGTGGAGTGCTCATTAGCTCACTTTCCCTTCCTCGAAGAATCTTTTCAAGGTTCTTTTTAGTTTTTTTATTCAGAAGATTGTTGTAACACCCCAGAGCTACTACACTGTGTCTCAGTGAATGCTGGACAGGGACACACAGCCATGGCAGTGCCTGGAGGGACAGAGCTGCTGCTCTGTGTCCCTTGTTGGTGACATCACGGTGCCTCACAAGCTGCCATGCTCCAGGAGAAGACATCATTGTTCAAGTTAGCAAACCAGTGGGGAGATCAGCTCAGGTTGGAGGATCAGGATTTAAGGTGTATGGAGGGCTTTGTTTTACTAGGACTTGTAATTAAAATAAATTATTCCTTGAATAATTGCAGTGGATATTTGGGAGCACATTCTAAACCTTATAGAACATTTCCACAACGTAGCACCTCCAGAATGCAGTGGAGTTACATTTCACAGCTCTCAGCTCCCTCCTAGTGTCTTTGAAGTCCATCAATTTCTCACATCACTCCTTTACCCATCTGTGAAATCTCACACCCTCATCTGTCACATCCAGCAATTTCTCATATCATGTGCAGTATTTTCTCTCACACCCTCTTCAGTTAGTTTAACCTCAGGCCAGGGTCTAGTCATCTACCTGCAGCCTTAACACATATTTATACCTCAGCTATTTTAAAATTAATGTGTTCTTTCATAGCAGAGAAATTTTGAATTGCAGTGTTAGGGTAAAAAACTGGACCATTTGTACCAAGCACAGCAGAATTCTATCAGACTGCTCTTCCTCTTTGTTAAGGTTTTTTTTGTTGCAGGCCACAGACGTGCCTTGGGGTTCTAAGTCTTTACATTACTAATGTGTTTCATGTCCCAGGCCACCTGATAGGTGGTGGGGTTTTATTGATGTCATGGATGTGTCATCTACAGAGTGAGACAGACTGTAGGCAGAATGAGGAAGAGTCTGGGGCAGGTGTCAAAGGGTTAAAAAGGGAGGGAATGGAGAGAGAGGGACATTTTGGGAGGCACAGAAAGGAGGGTGGAGGTACAATAGGAAGAATATATTGGAAAAAGCTGGAATAAGAGCCAACTGAAAATGTAAAGCCTCCAGAAGTACAAAATCCCTTAACAGCATGGTTTTCATTGGCACCACCTGAAAAAACTGCCAGCTGGTACCCAAGTTTCTTGATTTTGCTTTGCTTTGATCAGGAGATAATTTTTGATATAATTGGTATTTTTAAAATGAAGGCTGAGGCAATAGCTATAAGCTATTTTCACTTCATATGAACAGCGGTCACCCCAAAATTACTAACTTCTCTGGAAGTTTACTGCTGCAAAAAGGAGACAGCAGTGCAGGAGATTCCTGAGCAGTTTCATATTCTACTTCAGAAGACATACAAATTAAACCACAGAGAACAACAGTTCTTACACTGCTTTATAGTAGCTTCAACCTAGTCTTTCAGAGGTAGAATACAGAAGTTTAGTTCCCTAACTTGGAAAATCCTTATATTTTGTATGTTAATCATGTCTCCCAGATTTCAAACAAACGTCTATAGGGATTTTTTTTTTTATAGATTCTCATTTGCAGGTGGCTTTCAAGTTTTGCCTTTCTCTGCTTTTAAGCATCTTTTTTTATTCCTGTGTATCAGGGAGCATAAATTTAAAGTGTATAAACTATGATATAATTGCATTTTAAAGCTCTCTTGAAAATAAGAGTCTTAATTTTCACCTACTTGATGCAGGGAACTGTTTTGAGATTGTAATTGTCTCTAGATACCTGGACAATCACAGTTCTTAAAACCAGTTCCTAACACATAAGAAAATGCTTCTTCCTTCTTGCATTCCTCTTCACTTTTTGTCTATTTCTGTGGAGAGGATGAACTCAGGGTTCTCTGGAATAGATGTTCCTCTTGTGCTTGACCTCTTAATGAATGAATGAATGAATGAATTAAATAACTTAATCTCTTAGCTTACTAAGTCTCTTGCTAGCCTTTCTGTCCATCCCTCTTTCCAGCTTTTACGCTGGCATAAGTTTCTTAAGTCACCCTAACTTGAGCATTCTCACCCAATTACTTCCTTGCTGGGAAGTATTTGGGAAGGTCCTTGCTGGGAAGGTGCTTGGAGTTCTCAAAGCTCCTGTGAGATGGATGACTCTCACAGTTATGAAGAACCATCTCATGTGTGGTGTGGTGAGTGTCTGTGGCACATTGCTGCTCCTCCACTCTGGACTGGAGAGCATCCACACCACACACGCCTTCTTTGCTTCCTGTCCAGCTCACTGCCCTTTAGGCTTCCAGGGCATTCCTGCCACTCATCTCCACTGACTTTCTTTTAAAACCTTCTTACCAGGATTAGCAAGCTGATGTACAGGAGGTCTTCCCTCTCCAAAGAGGTGAGTTCCATCCTTGACCAACAGTTTAAAAGACAGACTCAGAGAAAGTCCTCCTTCATCATTCTTCTGCCAGAGGGGCAATCATTTCCAGGGTTGGCCTCTGTGTCTCTTAGTCCTGCTCCCAGCCAGAGAGACCAGGTGTTACAGAGCCTTTCTCTCTCTTTCTTCCTCACTTGCTCCTGCAGTCCCTTCTCCTCAGATGTGGTCCAGGACACTTTGGTTAGGGCCTAGCTGCAATCTTCTGGCAGGGCATGTGAGGAGCCATACAAAGAGCCCGTGCTCAGAGTGTGGTTCCTCCCTGCCTGGCTGTCTTTGATGGCTTAAGCTTTACAGAGAGCCCAGTACAGGGCCTGGACTGGGCTCTGTGGCCATGGATCCATGGACTTTGGGGAAGTCTCCAAGGGTTTTGGGCTCTATGGGCCCAGTCTGAGCCCTCTCTGCACAGGTCTTGGGTCCCATTGTGGGTGTTTCACATTTGGCTGTGGGCTCACAGGTGGGACAGGTTCCAGTGCAGCTGTAACTAAAGCTGCTGCCTTACTGTGCCTTGCAGTGTTCATGCAGGCCAGAGCTAGCCCAGTCCTGATCCTCTGGGGCTCAGCAAGCTGAGGCTATCAGAGGCCCATGTCCTGTGAGTGGTGATGACTCCAGACATTCCGGGCATTTATGAGCACCACAGAGCAGAGGAGGATGCCATTTCTGGTACTGCCATGCAGGTGCTATTAAAAAAGAATGTCAAGCAGCATTTTTATGGGCTTTTTTAGCAGTTGATCAAATCCATGTAGTTTTTCCTCAAGAAAGTTCTTTTCTGTACCTTGAAAGAATTATGTTAGATCTCTTGAAATGTAGCTTATATCTCATTGACTTTCTGTGCAACGGTAGTCAAAAAGAGAGAAGGATTGCTCAGAGACTCCTCATTGATAGAGAGAGATGATTTCTCAGGAACAGTTGTTCTTCATGGAAGTTCCTCTGAAAATGCAACTTCTGTGCTGCTTTTGTCTTCTATTTCAAATTTTGAAATAGGTGTGAAGGAGGAAAGAAACTTTAAAATTTGGATTTATTTCTTCTGTTTTTATGTCAGTCTGTGAATGTTCTTTCAGTTTTTAGTGTGATTGCTTTTTAAGTACAGACTAGATTCTGGAATAGACTTTCAGAAATGAAGCCTCTGGGTATGGAGTTTTATTTATGAAGTTCAGCAGCTCATTTTAGTTCTTGAGCAACGTAAGGCCTTAGACTTGGTAGTGTCTTCACTTTCATAAAAGTAAATTGACACTGCAGTGAACTCTACAGAGTATATTTGAGTAGATTTGTGTTTATAACCTTTTCTGTATCCACAAATATTTTTCAGCAAGAATCCATAGTTTGCCAAGATGGTGCAGTTGAATTGTCCACTGCAGCATGGGGGCTTCAGTCGCTCTCTTCATCAGCAGTGTTCTTGCAGGACACAAGCCTTGATCCACAGGCCCTGTCGTGTGACACCCCCATTTCCTGCTGCAGCCCACCAGAACAAGCAGTCCCCAGCAGCTGGGAATGAGCTGCTGCCACAAGCACAGCTCAGCCATAGGGACACGAGCCACCCCTCTTCCCACAGGCTCCTCGTGCTGTGGCTCAGATGTCTTGTTCCTGTGGCAGCAGCCTGCTCCCCACTGAAGGATCTCTCACACCTTTTGCATCCTTCAGCCTGTACTGTCCTGTTAGAGATAGAATGTAAAACGTGGGGATAACAAATGCAATTTGTGTGCCCTGTGTCCCTGCCCTCAGAGCTAGCTGAATTGCTCAGCCCATGCCCAGTTATTTTGAGCCCCTGTTCACTGATTGTGATCATGAACTGTGAGCCACAAGTCTGTGGGCTCCTTCCTGAAGACAAACAGCCACACTGCCTGCACCAACCACCTGGAGATCCTACATCCTTATTTTGGATTTATTTGCTACATTCTTTATCTTTTTGTGGAGTCACTTGAAAGGGAAGCACTAACAGACATATAAGTGATGGCACAATTCTTTCTGTATGCAGATAGGAAGAAATTTAACATTGTAGGTGACTGCATGTGGGTTTTCATTTTTAGCTAAATTGCAAATTGGCTTTGGTCATTTGCATAAAATTTTAAATACATTAAACAAATTACAGTATTATGTTTTTTAATATTCATGTGCATTTGGTTGAAGTATTCTGACAGCTAATCTCAGTGTTTTTTATTTAGCAAGGTGAAGTGAGGTTGAAGTGTTTGAAAGCTCTTCAGAGTCTGTATACCAACAGAGAGTTGTTTCCCAAACTGGAGCTGTTCACTAATAGATTCAAGGTAAGAGGAAATACGGTTTTTGGAAGGAGGACAGAAAGTAAAAGTGTCATCATCCTCTTGTGGTCTTTGAGTCACATCTATTAAGAGTAAACTCATTAGTTTGTGACAAGGCTTGTAACTGCACTACTGAAACTGTGTTACTGAATGCTGAAATTAAGATAAATGCATTTCCCAGGGTTTATCTTGGAAGATTTGTCAGACTTAACTAGGATGATTATTTGTCTGTATGTATTATTTATAGTTTATATATTCTACTTATTCAATCTGTTTGTACTTACTTAATTTTAGATTTATGAATTTAAAAGATGTATACTAACACAATCTAAAATACAGCTGAAAGTAGCAGCCTATAATGAAAGATTATTTGTTACACAGTTTTTTAGCTCAATGTGTTCTTGTGTTTGGACTGAGAGTCGCTTGGAGGTGCACCAAAGTCCTCTACACAGTGAGCTGGCCTTGCTGCAGAGCAGGAGTTCACATTGTGTTTCCAAACCCCTTGAGCCAGATTGGTACTTCAGGAGACAAGTGCTGGGGGGAGATATTTCATGGGGTTTTTATTAGCAGAAACTTTTTGTGTAATATCTGGATAAGAATGTGGCTGTTAATTCACTTTGTGGTCTGACTGCTTTATTGTACAAGTGAACTGTCTGGAGAGATGGGTGTGGAAATACTGTGCCTGCTCTTGTTTGGGTGCCTGGTGAGAAGAGTGTTCAGGCACTGTCAGCTGCTCCTTCTCCCCATGGCTTTTGTGTTCTGCAGAACATACTACTGTGGGAAAGGCTACCCCCAAGGAAAAACTCATTTATCTCATTTAAATCTTTATTAGAATGCTGATGAAAAAATTTGTTTTGAAAAGAAACAGAGCTGACTGGTTTATTTTATCTTAAATCATTATTATAATGCTGATAAAATCTGTTTAGAAAAGTGGAGATTTAAATATTTATAAATACTGTGCACAAGACTTAAACTTCTCCTTGTGGATTTTCCCTGTAAACAATTTATAAAAACATGATAATCAGCCTTTTTCCACATTCACTTGAGAAGCAGAAGAAAGATGCTTAACCTGCAATAAGCCTAGATATTAAGGAAGACTTTTTTCCAAAATGATAATTATATAATAGAGCAGACTCTTTATTAATAGTCTCATTCATTTAAAGCAACAGTCTTAAAGGGCAGATTAAATAAATGTCTGCCAGAAGTGGACTAAGTATAGTTGACTAAAGTAATTTTAAGAGACCAGTTAAGGACCTGCATTCTTCTAATTTTATAATGACAGTTTCTGGGACTGTTGCAGTAAAGACAGAATTTCCCCTCATAGGAGAGAACCTGGCAAACAGGTTCAGACTTCAAACTTATTCTCCTCCATAAATCTGATTTGCTTTATCCTCACAGGACAACCAGAAAAATGGACCCTCCAATTGTTCTGATTTTCCTGTTCATCTGTGCAGATTTAGATTTGTTTATATATGCTTTTTTTGTAATTCCATTTATTTTCAAATTGACCACTAAAGCTTTTGGAGGTTTTTATCTACTTCTCTCTACTAGGAAATGTGCAGAATGCTTCTTTGTCTTGTTTCCATAATTTGTAAAGGAAAAGACTGCTTTGAGGCTGAACTCTCCCATGCACCTGCAAAACTTTCAGGACAATTGGAGGCACTTTGGGCAATAGTTACTCTGTAATATACTCCAGAAAACTGCAGGGACATGAAACCTCTAAATACATCCTGCTTTTCACAGCACAGAATTCTCTTAAAGGAAGCTAGGCTAGCCTGTGCATTGCTGTTTGGCTTGGGATGGCACAAGGAATTTTCATTTCTGTCAGAGGTTCAGAGGGAAGGGAGCCTTGCCAGGAATGAATCTTTCTTCTGTCCCATAAAAGCTGGTTTTACTACAGAAATCTCTATCATTATGAAATAAATAAGAGGAAAAGGTGTGCTTAAAGTCTCTGTGAGCCTAGAGAACAGATCTCTTTAACATAATGATTAATCACTTTCAGTTTCTGCCGCATCAAGAGAACAAAAAGCTGGCATGGCCCAAATGCCTGCACTTGGATTTACAGCTGTGCTGTCAGGGATGTGGCCTTTGGCACCAGTATGGAGCAAAGTTCCAAATTAATGCTTTTTGAATTTCTGATACATTAGCTAAATGTCTTGCCACCACAGACTCTACCACCACCTCTTTGAAAAATAATTGACCTAACTGCCATTTTAAGTTCCATGGCTACTTATTTATACGTCTTCATCAGAATTTAATCGACCTGCACAGTTCAGCTGGTGTTCAGTTCCATCCATTCAAACTGAGAGAAATCTCTCTAGAGGTCCTCTAGCTGTGTAAAGAATAAATTAATTTGATTGAGAGTGCCTTGTGCTGGGGTGTTAATATTTCACCTGCTTCCCAGAGAGCTGAGACAAGGATGTGATTCTTTCCCTTTTTCAAAGAAAAATGCCTGTTCTTTTCAGCATTGTAAGAGTAGGTGATATGCTGGAAAATAAGCTTCATCCATCAAAACAAAAATTTGTCCATCAAAGAGAAGACATTTTGTTTTCCATCAAGAAGTCCTGTCTGATACAGATATTAACTGACCCCATATGGAAAAGCTGAATTAACTCCTCTGCAGCCAGTGCCAGAGGCCCTCATTCCTCACCTTGTGCTGTCTCCACAGCCTGGGAGCACAAGGAGAGATTGGCTTTTCAGTCTGCCTTGTTCACAACCTAATATAGAATGGAAAACTGATCTTCAGAGACACTGAGAATTAGTATTTCAGCTTCAAAATCCAGGCCTGTGCCCTGTTCTGCTGCTGTACAATGGCACAGGGAATCTCTGTAAAGGCAAATTGAGCAGATACGGGTTGGAACTTCCTCTGATTCTGAAGTTACATCTTCAGAGGTGCTGGGTGTGTGGGTCTTGCTGGGAAGGTTCTTGGAGCCTGGCCTGGCACGTGCCACCACTCAGACATCTCCCCAACCAGGGCAGAAAATGACACACCCATGCTGTTTATTTTAAGCCTGATACTTATGGGGAAAATTGAGAGAACAGTCCTTTAGGATAAGGAAACTTTCTCACGTCAGTTGGTTTCAAAGTCCAAAAGGACTCCGGATTCAGAGGGTACCTTCTGCTCTGTGGACAGGAGAGGGGATTCCCTCCCTGAGGTATTCTGGGGTGTAAGATAAACTCTGAGGGAATACATTAAATTCTACTGAGACATTCAAGATCAGTATCTCTGGCTGTTCTTTCTCTTGGTGCTATTACTGCTGTTCCTTGGCCAAGACCTTAGGAAAAGTTGACAGCAGTTTTTTTGTCTTGTTCGTAAGAGAGTGTCCTCTGTGGAAAGTTGTTTCTTTGGGTCTCTTCATGGACTTCTCACAGTCTTTACAACTGTTTAGATCTACATAAAATGTATCAAATTCCCCAGGAACTTCATAGTGGTTCATAGAGGCTCCTTCAGTCACAGTGACAAAAAGTGTCTCTGCAGACCTGATTTTTTTGGGAAGTAACACTTAACAGCATCACAATGTGTTTTTAAGTACTGATCTGAAATTTCCATATCAGAATAAATATCAATTGCTTGATGTTCCCCTTCAGCCCTTAAATGCATGGAAGAGTAGAGAAGAAAGGTGAAAACCTTTATTTTGCCCTGGTTTGTTCTGGTGGCTTTCACTGTTGTTGCCTTACACTTCCCTTGCTTTTTTTTCTAGTCCCTGATTTCTATTTTTCCATATCCCAAAATGTCATAGAGTATCTACTCCTTCCTGAAGCAGGTTAAGCCAGCTAAATCAAGTTTTATTTTCAGATGGCCTGATTTCTCTTCAGTAACTTGCTCAGTCGGGCAAAGAGCACTGAGACATACTGCATTTTTATGGGTGGATGGAAATTATCCTTGGATAGGAAGGACAGCATACACCAATCACAGTTACTTTTGCCAATAAGCAAATGGAACTTAAGGAGAAAGAAACACTTAAAAGACTTGTCATAACTACAGGGTCCTTAGAAGCTAGAAAATCATTAGATTTGACAGGAGAATGATGTGCTTGTCTTCACTAGAAAGAGTATGGGAAAACACAAAATCAAACCACAGAATTCCTCACGTTCCTGAGGAAGTTCTGTAGTGTAATTCTTGAGATCTGCTTCAAACTTTGAGATGTAGACAGGAAAAAGGTCACAACTTTACAGGCAGCCTGTAGATGCATGAATTCAGGTGTGATTTTTCTTCGCAGTATTTCCATTTATGCAGCATTCCTTCTTCTGAAATTACTTGGTTTCAGGGGAATGAAATGGGGAATCTGCTGGTGTCCAGCCCAAGTATGTGACTTTTCAGGAGAGACCTGTTAAATTAATCCAACCCAGAACAGTGCTGTAGCTCCCACGTCTCCTCCCTGCCTTTCTGGCAAACACACAAGGATAAGGGCTGGTGAAGCACTTGTTCCTGTTGTTACACCACACAGCTAAGGGGTACATTAAAAGTTCAGGTAATTTTGAGGGGCTCTCATTGTCAGTGTGCAGTTGAAACCTCTTTCTCCCCATAAGTATTTCTTCTGTAACCTGTAGAATTTTCCATCTGCTGGCCTTGCTGTGTTTGTGCCTATAACTGACCTCGAGTTGCCTTGCAGGACCGCATTGTGTCCATGACCCTGGACAAGGAGTACGATGTCGCTGTGGAAGCCATTCGATTGGTCACGCTCATCCTCCAGTGAGTGCTGCTCCAACCCCTGCACTCCCTTGGAAAATTCCCATGGCCACTAACATTTGAGTGACTTGAGTGCTTTGCTTGTGTATTGAAGTGAATGTATTGCTTTACACTTAGTGTGAAGGTGAACTGAACATATAATATGCACATGAAGCTAAAGGTAGATATTTTATTTCATGGAAATACAAGAGGCAAAGCTTAAAAATGTATGGATGTTTTGGCATCCATACATTAGTGCATCCATTGTGTGGAAAATGCCAAAGGGCATTTCTACCTTTTACCAAGGGCAGAACAACTGTCCTCTCAAAATGAGTGTCATGGGGTTATGCTTGCTAGAGTAACTCCAGCAGTAACACAGATCCAGTGTAGAGTTGATTGATTTCCTGACACAGCTGCAAAGAGTCATGCGGTAGGATACCTGCTTCCAGGCTTTTCTATGTGGGCATGCAATGGCTCCCTTGAGGAAAGGATCACCTCAGACATCCTCCCACATGCTGGTGTGGAACCAGCCTGTCCCCAGCAGCCTCGTGAGTGTGCACCTGGAGGGGCACTGCTAGGCTTTTATAATATATTATTAAAAGCTGTATTAAAGAACGCCTGGTTTGCAAACAGATGCACAGAATTTTTGCTTCATATTTTATATCCAGTGGCTTCACTTTGAAGAATGTTTTTGGACTTGCAGAATTTGGACAAAAAAGATTGCACTAGCTTTTCCTTAGTAACAGCTTTTTATTTGTGGGTCACTCTGTTTTAAAGGCATTTCATGTCTTGTAATATTAGCAAGACATGAAATCTTGCATCTACTGTTATATTTCTCAAGTAAATATAACAAATATGATCTGAAATGATATGTAGAGCACATCTTTTCCCCAAATTATTAGCAATTTTTGGGAACACAGTAAGTTTTAAGGTCAAAAATTACCCAGTACACTTTTTTTGGTCTATTCCTGCTTTTCTTTTGGTTGCCAATTGAAAGCACAGGCAATGCTAAATGCATTTAGCACCAGAAGAGTCTGGGTCACCTTGAAGAACACAGGGCAATATTCTGGCAGGTAGGAACTCCAAAAAGGTGTCTGGAACAATCCTGATGGGGAATGACTAATTAAAATTATACCTAGTATGAAGCCAAATGATTTAGAGTCCTGATATATAAATGGTTCTGATGGATGCCATCTGAATGGAGGTAATATCCAGATTGTGCTGGTATTTTTATATTGTTTTTGCTGACATTCTGGGACAGGCTGCCTAGGGAAATGTTCAAAAGTGGGGACATGGGTTAGTGGTGAACACAGGGCCCAGGTTAATGGTTGGACTGAATGAGCATGGAGGTCTTTCCCAACCTAAAGAATTCTGTGATTCCAGGTTTTTAGTTTATGATGTTTGATGAGTGTTTGCCATCTTGCAGTGTATGTACTGAAGTTTGTGTGATAGTCTAAGGAATAAGCAGAGGACGGTTTTTATGCAGTGATTCTGATCTTTTAATAATATTTTTTTCTCTATATTGATACAACTGGGAGAAGGAAATCAGAGAAACTTCCAGTCTTACAGGCCCTTTAAATACCTCCATATTTTCAAGTTGAACAAAAGATCCTTGAAGTCCTTGTTCAACCGTGTAGGATTTTGTGGGAAGTGAACCAACCTTATAGCTGTCCCAAGTGAGCTGTGGGAGGTGAGGGGATGGAAATGAAACCTCTGCTGTAGTTCAGGTGTTATTGTGACTCTTTCAGTGGGAGTGAGGAGGCTCTTTCCAACGAAGACTGTGAGAATGTTTATCACCTGGTGTACTCAGCACACCGGCCTGTGGCAGTAGCAGCTGGGGAATTCCTCCACAAAAAGTAAGTAATCAGTTGCCCTGGAATAAGACCAAGTTTGTGAATACATCCTAGAGAGGTAACATCAAAAAGCAAAGAAGCAGTGGAGTGAAATATTCCAATTTAACAAATCAGGTATTTCATTTAAACCAGAGACTTTATTCTCTTTTTTAAACAAGATCTGAGGCTTGAAGAAACTGAATACATTTTTCTTGCTCTGCAATTCAGATAGCATTTCCTAACTCCTTGAGGGTTAAATATACAAAGGCTGCACAAGCTTCTAAGTTGGTTTAAATCCTGCAGCACCTCCTGAATTCCTGGTGTGATAAGATACATATATTGGGCTTGTAGTCTGTAGTGATACACCTGATACATCAACAGTCACAATTTCTATCAAGTTTTAAGCCAGTTTATTTCTCTGTTGTGAACTTGGGAGGTTTTTATGTAGCATTAAGTACAAAATTTGTTTCTAAACTCACTGCCTTCCCCTGAAAATATACTGCATTATGGTTACAGCTTTCATGTCCTCACTATGCCAAAGGACATGAGCCAGCTTTTCCATGGATGTGAGTCATACCACCTCAGTAACTGTGACCAGGGCATTTCCACATCATAGGAGTTAACCTCTTCATTTTATTGTTTGCAGCTAAAAATCTTGCAGCAGGAATTTGATTTTTTATCCCTCATGGGTTGTGACATTAGAGTTTTTTATTACATATATAGAGGATTTATATTAGAACCCAGATTATCTAATATTTTCATGCCAAGATGCAGGATACACAAAGACATCTGTTTTTCTTTGCCAGTGCTCTAATTTTCTGTGGTTTATTAAGGATTTACAACTCCACATTGTAATTGTAAGCTTTCACTGGTGGATTTTTGGAATTCCAGCTTTGTGATCAAGCACTCTCTGTTTCAAGGAATATATGTGCAGATCTCCACTACCAACAAGACTTTGTACTAGTTACTGGAAAGGGTTAGGTTCTCATTAAAAATACTCACTAAAATTCCTTTATTAATCCACATGTGGCAAAATACTTTTGAAAAATGCCTCAAAGGTAAATAGGCACACCTGCACCTCCATGTACTTAGGATAAAGATAAAACTTCATTCTGACTTTTTTTACAAGGTGCTAAGCTGTGTAAATGTGTCTCAAGGCTAACAGCATGGACACAAGATTGTCCAATTCTTAACTAATTTTGTCTTGGTTTCTGTGAAGAAAATCTCCTCTTAAAAAAGTTAGCATCTATTTCAGGCACTTGAGGTGTGATTTATCCCACCTATTTTAATACATTTCACTATCACTTTCTCCATGATAATCATCAGATATGCTCTCTGTGCTTAGCAAAGGAAGCTACTAGTAGAGGATTTAAAGGATTACCAAATATAGAGGATCACTGGCTCAACCCTGAGGTGCAGGTTGTAAGGTATCTCAGTACCTGCAGAGATGCTCATTGCTGATATGTTAAGATAAGCAGGGGGGATAAGGTAATGTTTTTAAATAAAATACAACAATTTGTGTGTAACTTGTCCTCCTCTTCAGTGAATTAGAGCAGTGAAGTCAGAATTCTGTGTTTCACGTGTTAATCTGCTTTGTGATTTCACAGTAAAAGCCAGGAACAGCCTTCAAATTTCTCTAAACAATCATTGCTGTAGCAGTAATACTGTCACATCTGAGGTCTCTGGGGAAATTTGAGCATTGAGAGGAGTTTGGGATAGGACCATGCATCAGGGAACTCAGTGCAGAGTGTGCCACTTACCTGTAAAACCCAAAATAATTAGGAGCTGTTTTTCTTTGATGCTGCTCCTCATACCTGAGGTTGGCTGTTTGATATATGTCAGGTTTGTTTGTAACATATCCCAGCCAAAGTGATAAAACCTTAGCTCTCAGTTCACTGGTACAGTAGGTGCTGCCTCCATTGCAAGACTGGATAAGTTATAAATGCAAAACTGTACAAGTGATGCAAATACTTGAAACTGTGCAAAACCTTCAATGTAAGTAGGTTTTAGAGAACTTTTTCCTGGGTGAAATTCTTCCAGCCTTGGGAACTCAAAGACTGAAGACAAATTAATATTTTCAGACAGGCAGAGGTTGTAGCCTCTTTCCCTTGAAAGAAATAGCTTGAGATACTTGCACTGTTTTATGAACAAATTTACTGTATCAAGAATGAATGTTCATCATATTCTTGCAGAAATGAGAATTGTTGTGGTAGCCATGAGCTCCTTCTGCTTATTTTCAGGCTGTTCAGCAGACATGATCCCCAAGCTGAAGAGGCTCTAGCAAAGAGGAGGGGGCGAAATAGCCCAAATGGAAACCTTATTAGAATGTTGGTTCTTTTCTTTCTTGAAAGTGAGGTAAAAAAGACATTTTTAACCTTTAAATGTTTAATAAAACCTGGAACTTAAGTAGTGATTTATTAACATACAGTAATAAATTGTCTTTCTTTTCCTTTTTTTTTATATTTTCAGAAATACCATAAGCCCTTTTCTCTGCCCCTCTATTTCCTTGTCCATTAAGGAAATTTATCTGAAAATCTTCATGGTTTATTTAACTCATGCATGTCCCCACTGTACTGACACTGCATTGCTGGTGCTGTAGTGGTTGCCAGGTTGCATTGCTGCACACAAATGGAAATAGTTCTTTGCTTACATAACCATGCAAGGAGAATACCTCTGGAGTTATTTTTTGTGGAGTAAAATAATTTGAAACAGGACAGAACAAAAACTGCATAATATCTCCAATTCTGATTAGAATCATAGATGAACTCAGAGTGGGAAGAACCTGAGGGTCCTTGCCTCAGAGCAGAGTCAGCTGTGAAATGAGATGAGGTCTCTCAGGGCTTTATGCAGATGAATCTTGGAAACATTGCAGGATGAGGAAAACAAGCACAGATGTGTTGACATGAAGTGTTTGATGAACACACCCAGGTGGGATTGTGCTCATGATTTATAGAGACAGCATCTATGGGAAATTGCATGGTACATGTAGTAACAGTAATAGAGATGGGGAATGGCAGTGGAGGAAGGAAAATTTGAGAAGATACTTTCAGGTACAGGATGTTCTTAAGATAGAGGGGGAAAGGTTCAGAATTATTCATTTGATTTGATAATAAGTAGATTGAAAGAAAGGAATGACAGAAATGTTTCTCTAGAGAAGGAAGGGTAGTATATGTTGGGTAAAAAGCAAAAGTAAAGATATTAAAATTGATTATTTTAATTGTTACGAAGCCTGGAACAAGAGACTTGACTGTGAGAATGAAAAGAAACAGAGTTGCTGAGAAGGAAGAACAAAATTTTGGTACAGTGTTCCTGTTTTTTAAAAACACCTCATAAACCTACAGATTAATCTGGATGAAATGTCACTACCTGTGTGAGCCTTCCGTCTGCCACCTGAATGGATTTTTAGTTCTAGCTTCATTAAAACTTAGATTGGAAAGTTAATTGTTTTACAGTGTAGACACCTTAGATGTGAATGTGATTTGAGTTACTGAGCACTGACTTTGTCCTCCTGAGGAGAAAAGAAACTGCTTTACTCCCAAAGCCAAGATCAGCAAAGTGCCTCCCATGCTGCTCCCTGAGGATCACTTCTCTCTCAGGGCCAGGTTTTGCTATTGTTGTTTCTGAGAGAGTTGTTAGGAGCCAAGTAGAATATTCTGACTCCAATTTTAGTAAAGAGTTGGAGAATTGGGAGTTTGCATGTGGGTGGGACGAGTTAATGCTGCAGCCTGGGGTGCATTCAAGGGAATGAACCTTGCCCAGCAGCAATAGCTCTGTGACATTTTGCCCAAAGCTGTCAGAAACAGAGGAAGGCATGTACAGACACCTCCTTCTCTGCACGTGGGGATGTTTTCCAGCTAAGGAATCAGTCCCTGGCAAGCACAAGCTGTGTGTTGTGCTTGTCACTTGTTGGTAGTAGTTGAAGTTAAGTTTAGAAAACAGCAGAAGTCTATGGATTATTTTTCTCACTTTACAACAGTTGTGTTAATTCACATGAAAACATTTTTTGCAGTTGAAGTTGTGTTAAATCTATAACCCCTAAAATCACCAGGGTTTTTGCTCCTTTTTTTCTGAGCACATAGCAGCATGTATGAAAACCAATTGCTTGTTCCAAATAAATATATTACACCTCTCATGCCTCACCATCTCTCCTTTTTGTAATGCAGTGAGAAAGTGAAGGAAGGTAAGTTTACAGGTTCTGGGCCAAAACTCTGGGAAAGATTTTTCACAAACAAGCAGCTTTGTGCAAAAGAACTTCAGTTTGGTTTTATTTAATTTCTGTTAAAACATAACCCCATTGCACTGGTGTCATTAAGTTGGGAGGAAACCTTCCTGTATTCATTTCAAGCTGAATGTTCTTTCCAACTAACATAAGATATGTGCCCAGGACACTCTCTGTGGCCACATGATTGTGAAAGTTGAAGAACTGGTGCTTATACCAAGAGCTGTACTGATGATTACTTTGGATTTTCTAGTTGCATGAACATGCAGCCTATTTGGTGGACAGCTTGTGGGAAAGCTCTCAAGAACTGCTGAAAGACTGGGAATGTATGACAGAATTGCTCTTGGAGGAGCCAGTCCAAGGAGAAGAAGGTATTGGATTAACCCAGTGCTTCCTTGATATTACACAGTATTGTTAATTATTCCTTAAATACCTCTGCCACCCATAGTGAAATGTCTTTTTATGTTGTGGTTTGTTTGGAAAACGTATTTGAAGATTTTGGGTTAATCTAGTTTTAATGCACTTTCCTTCAAAAGGAGCAATTTGTACTCTCTTTTTCTTTTTATTTGTACTCTGGAGGTTTTTTTTAATCAAGTGTACTGCACTGTGGTTCCCTAACATTAAAGGAAGTTTACTCAAGTCTTAACTTGATTTTGTCTGAATGTTTAAATAACTATTTCAATAAATAGCTAATACAATTTTGAATAAACAAGCACTTCAGATGATGCTAGTTGATATGGGGCTTTTCCAGGCAATGTGAACACAATGAATTCTCAAGAGAAAAAAAGCAAAGGGAATTCTTTCACCATTAGTTTCAGATTTCCTTTTGTTGATAATAGACCTGGGTGCACAAAGTAGCCAGGGAGACTGGGGGCAAGGTGTCTGTAAGGTTAATGAGTGTCATTCAAGATCCTTTATAATTCCTCAGGGTTCTCCTGCTTCAGGGACCTTCAAAGGGCTTAGGCATTTGAAAAATCAATGTTCCTGGCATGATGTTCTTCATCATGTCCATGCTTCAAAGGCTGGCCTTTTGGTATGCACCTGCTACAGTGGGGCTATTTATAGGGTAATTTCCTTAGCAAATTAGGCACTTTGCTTCCTTGATTCTGGTTAGCCTAGTGGGGTTTGATCCTCCAAATGTGAGCAGAAGCACTTGCCAAAGAGCAGAAGATTTATGAGGAAATGACAGTGAATTCTCTGTCACTGTTTTTCCTCTATGACTCTCCCTTATTTTGTAGATCTTCCTTACGTTCCCCTTCACTGATCCTTTTCTCCAGCCAACATTTGTCTGGGCTGCTTTCACTTCTGCCATGTCCATTTTGAAAGGATGGGAATGGCAGATCAAAGAGGCGGCAGGAAAGCCTCAATGTGACAAAGTACCTGTGCTGCTGTGTGCTCCCCTGGTGCTGTGTGTTCCCCTGCTGCCCCACACGTGTCCCCGTTGTGCTGCCTTGCCCCCAGTGATGCCCTGTTGTCCCCACAGCGATGTCGGACCGGCAGGAGAGCGCTCTGATCGAGCTCATGGTGTGCACCATCAGACAGGCTGCCGAGGCACATCCCCCTGTGGGCAGGGGCACCGGCAAGAGGGTGAGTGGGGCTGCAGCTGCCTGCCTGTCACCAGAGCATGGAAGATATTTGTAACACCACTTCGGACACTCTTGCAGTAGAGTTTTTTAATTGGTGTTTGCTGTTTTATCTGAGCACTTGTAAGAAAAATATTAGAAATTCTGTTTCTGAATGTGTCTGTGCTTTTAGGCATCCATCCTCTTAGGCGTCTTCCACTGAGTGCCCTAAAAATTTCAGAACTTTACATCTGGCCAAATTGCCACTTCAGTTTATTGTATGGGGACTGTTTGAGCCCCAGTGGAAGGCCATTCCTAAGCTGGACATGCAGTTTTAAACACTTTATTCTAAGTCACAGGGTCAGGGTAATAACAGGCTTTCAGCTGTATTTTCCATAAGTACAGCATCCATGTTCCAAAGCAGTCTCAGCTTCTTAAACATATTCACCTGATTTTGGTGGTCCCCATCTCATTTAGGATAGAAAAAGTGGAATAAATCCACATGAATATATGGTTCTTTAAGCATCCATTCTAAATAATCATAACTAATTTTTAAAACCACAGACTTAATAAAGATGAAATCTGGAAAGTCTTGGCATTCTTTATTGCTAAAATAATGCAATTACCTAACTTCTTAATTTTTTATGTGCCAAAGCAGATTAGTCTCATGTCCAGAAACAGCATCCCAGGAAAAGCTCCAAGAAACCATCAGTTTAAACATGCTTTATGTACTTTAATTTATAAAGCGAGTTCTTAGGAATTTCTAATTTATTACAACATTTCAGGGTTAAGGAGGGAATTGAAATTTACACAAGCATGTCTTATCTTTTGTTATGAAAACTGTATTGTAAGCACATCTTTTGTCTCAAGCTGCAGACTCTTCTAGCAGTCAAAGTGACCTTTAAATTAAAAAAAAAAAATCATGTTCAGGTTTTCTGTTTGGAGCACCAAATAATGTCAGCATTAACTTCCCAGGTATTTTCTCTTTCTCAAGATATCTACAGCTCAATTCACTGAATTTCAGCAAATTGTGTAGTCTTAAGTTTTCAATGTCTGTATTTGGAGCTAAAGAAAACAGATCAGTAAAACAAATTCCACCTTCTGAGGGATGATCAGAAAAGCCTGGATGTCATGCTGGGGACCCAGATCAATTCCCAGTGCCAGGGAATAGCTGTGTTTGGTCACCAGAACACAACTGGGCTGTCAGGGTTGGGATTCTGACCTGGGTTTGCACTGCTCTGAGCTTGGCTGGTGCTGCCCTGGTGAGCGTGTAGGGGCTGAGGCTGCTCTGGGGCCATCCCTGCACCTTGCACTGTGCAAGTGGTGTCTTGTCCTGTTCACGATCCATTCCCCCCACTTCCATGGCTGTTTTGGGTTCCTGCTGGCACAGTGCCTGGCATCCAAGCACATGCCTTGTGTCCAGCAGCTCCTCCTCCCTTGCAGAGCCATGTAGGGGTCCCAGTAAGCTTTTGCTTCTTTTCAGTTAGAGCATGAGTTGTGGGATGGTAACTGCAGTGTTCCCTGCTTTGTCCCTGGAGATGCATCTTGTCTCATGATCCCACCAACTTCTTCTCTGAGTTGAAATGGGAACAGATTTCTAATTAAGCACTCACCTTCTTGTGAAATAGTTTACCTTCTGACTTTAGCTTGTAACCCTTACTGTGCAGTCTGGCTGATTGGCTATACATGAATCATTTGCTAACTTGAGTATTATCATTATTTTGTCTCAAAAGTATTCTTTTCTTTCCTGAAGCCAGGAAGCCAGATCTAAGCTTTGATGGAAACATGCTGGTTTGGTTATTGTCCCTCTGGTCACTGTTTCAAGGGGGTTTTGTTCTGACAGCATTAATGCTTCAGTACCTCACTGTGAACTTGGATGTACGTTCTGACTGAGAATTCCATTCCATTTAGAGAGGAGGCCATGACTCTGCTTAATGAAAATCATTGTTACAGTGTGGTTTGGTTTTGGTTTTCTTAATTATACTTCAGTTTGCCCTGAGGTCTTACGTTAATGCTTGGTTTAATGTGTGAAAGTCAGAGTTCAGTACAGTTGGAAACAATAGCAAAAATTCCACTGACTGAGGTTATATTTGAATTTCAATCCTAAAAAGATGTTGATGTGTGGAGACAGTGTCATGCTGGGTGATATGGTGTTTTCCTTTTCAATCACAGCTGCTTAGGGCACACAGTCTTCCTTCTTCAATCATTCTTCAGCCCAAATGTGTTTTGAGTTTTTTTATTCCCTCCTCGTTTGATTTATTAAATAATACACTTGCATGGTTTCTGTTTGTAATACAATGTTTAGAAAAGTTAATGGATGCTATATGCAGAAAATGTATTTACTGTAGTAATGTTTGATCACTTCCAGGTCTTGACAGCAAAAGAAAGAAAAACTCAAATAGACGACAGAAATAAATTGACTGAGCATTTCATTATTGCACTTCCCATGCTGCTATCAAAGGTACAGTTTTCAACGAAATAAATATTTCACTGGGATTTACAGCTGAATTAAACTTTCTCATTCTGTAGTGCAGGAGTTTATTTTTACCTCCCTGTTGTTTGCTTTGTTGCCATGACGTTCCAGTATTCCGCTGACGCTGAGAAGGTTGCAAACCTCCTGCAAATCCCTCAGTACTTTGACCTGGAAATCTACAGCACGGGCAGAATGGAAAAGGTATCGTGCCTTGGGCAGGAAGTGTGGCTGCTCTCAGGTGTGACCACTGTTCGGCCCCACAGTGCTGTGCCTTTGGCTGGGTGTTGTGGCAGTGGCTTTGCTCAGTGTCATTGTCCCATTGAAGGGAAAGCTGAAGTTCTTTTCTGCTCTGCAGCATCTGGATGCCTTACTGAAGCAGATTAAATTTGTTGTGGAAAAGCATGTGGAATCAGATGTTCTGGAAGCTTGCAGCAAAACCTACAGCATCCTCTGCAGTGAAGAATACACCATCCAGAACAGAGTTGACATAGCCCACAGCCAACTTATTGATGAATTTGTGGATCGATTTAACCATTCTGTTGAGGATCTACTGCAGGAGGTTTGTTTTCTTAGAATTGTTGAACTGGCTAAAATATGTTAGGATAGGCTACAGAAAAAGCCATGAAATTACCCATCTGAAGACATAGTGCAGCAGCAGCTATTTCATAATTATTTGGAGCTACTTCTTCCTGTGGAAAGTCCCTTACAGTAGCTATTAAGCCTTCAAATCATTGATGTGTAAAACAAAACTATGGGACAATCCTGCTTCTGAAAATTTAGTTGAGTATTAAAAGAGTCCATGTAAGGAATTAAGTGGATGAATGGGTGAAAGATAATGAAAAATGCAGAGGAAGTTGTATTTACATTAGTGTTTTTAGTGATTCCAGTAGTCCCAGATGTATATGTAGGCAGCAAAATCAAGACTGGATTATGTTTAGAATGGAAGAGAGAATTTAAGAAAATATGTATCATGGATTAAAAGAGCCCTGGAAAGAGTAAAAGATTCTGGAACCTGGAAGTACCTGTGATTTAGTTGTAAGAATTTACTCTTCCAAATTTCATAAGGCAGAATAGATTTAATAGAATAGAAACCGTACTCATTTTTTCTTCCCTTGCAGCAATTTAACTTTGTGTAGCACTACTTAATTTTTTGTAATTTTCATGCCTTTTAAACATAACATGAGGGCTGCACAGACCTTTTTCTTTGCTTGTAGTCATGCACTGGTCTGTGGCAGATCCAATTAATTTTTGATGTACATTTAGGAAAGTTAAGCCAAGTCCCTGATTTAGAATGGCACATTAAAGGAAATATGCCTTTTTTCCTATTTTTATGTAGCATGCTACATACAGGCTCACTGTAAATATGCCTTGTCATGTTGCAGAGTAAATAAAAATGTTTGTATAGCTGCAGAAATGTGCATAAATGAAAGGACAGTACATGCAGGAAACCTTCCACAACGCAGAGGAGGTGGGGCACCACTGTGCATTCTTTAGTAATACACAGTGGTGTATTACTACAATAATGTAAAATACATAAAGCTTGTTCTCTGCCTGTCTGCCATTTTTGGTGTACTTTCTCCTAAGTTTCTGATTAGAACCTGGAAAAACAGTCCAGAATTGGTATTCCATCACTGCCCACTTGTGTGTGCCAAGGGAATCCTTCCCATTGTTCCTTAGCCTTGGTTTTTGAAGTTCCTCATCTCTGGCCGGCAGGACCAAAACCTGACTTGTGCAGCAAAAAGGGCTAAGGCTGGACTGCCACACCAGAGTCGAGCTGCAGAACCACCCGAGCTGTGCACACCCAATGGATGCCCAGCAACTGAGCACTGGAAATAGTGGCCTTAGAGAGAGAGCTTTCCTCAGCCTGCTCCAAACATCCCTCTGGCCTCACTCTTTTACCCAAGGGGAGTCACAGGAGAGCACTGAGATGCTGGGATTTATAAATGCCTTCCCAAGAGTCTTTTCAGGAGTAGTGGACTAGGAGAGAAAAAGATTTTTCCTACAATTCTCCTTAATATTGTTTTGGTTTTAGAATTCCTCTATGACTGCTGTTGAATCAAGAAGCCAGTATCTGCATATTCCCACTCCTTTTCCTTTCACCTCTCTTTGCCAGTGCCTTTGTGCTGTGGTGCAGAAAGCCCTGAAGGATTCCCTGGGGCTGCTGAGCAGAGCAAAGGCTGGGCTCCTGAGGGGCTGTGGGCCAGGGACACTGGAGTCCCTGTGCTTTACACCACAGGGAGCACAGAGAGGCAGTGAGGCCTCGTGGTCCTGGTGCATGTTCTCTCCCAGGAGAGCAGGGCTGAGGCTTGCAGAGAAACTGTGTCTGAAAAGCATCTGAGAAATTAATTAAGGGCCTTAGATCCCTAAGGAGAAGTGAGTGCATAGGTCAGACACGGCACATAACCAAGACAAAAGTAGGAGAAAACAAGAATGAGAACAGCAGTAGCAAGGATTTAAAATTATGGCCTTTGTGATACTCTATTTAAAGTGATATTTGTTTGAATAATTAATTTTAATAAGTCTATTTCATCATTTTAAAGGCATCTTAAATTTTAAAAATTGCATACTGGTACCTAAGCAAGTATCCCACTGCTTTATGGCTTCTCACTGGGCTGATAATGAGAGAAACATTGATTGACAATTGCATCTGAAGGCAGAAAGATGTTTATTAACACAGTGATAATGCTGAATATTGTCACATAATCTTGCTTGGGTTTTATGCTGTGCAGTGGTTACTTAAATTTTGTGGAAGGTACTTAAAAGTCACTGGAAATTTTGGAGACAGTTTTGATATGAGTATAAACCCCTAAGAAGCTGCTCCTGCCTGCACAGCAATGTACTGGGCTGAATTGCTGGGCTCTCCTCATGGATTGCCTTTCCTTTGCAGGGAGAAGAAGCTGATGATGATGACATATACAATGTGCTCTCCACACTGAAGAGGTTGACATCTTTTCACAAGTAGGTGGTTTCCCTCACAAATTTGTGATGTTAATTTTATCCTTTCAGCAAGTATCAGCAGTGTCAGGTATGGGGAAATGAGAACACATGGCCTGGAATCTGGAAATGGAGCAGTGACTGCTGGTGTTTGTCAGTAGAAGTGTTTGGGTTGATCTGGGTCCTTGCTCAGTTCGTGCCATGACCTTTGCAGATGGGATTTGCAAGCAGCACCCCCTCCCTTGCACCCAGTGCTCCTACACCCATGAGTAAATTACTACAGGTCCTGCTCCCCTGCATGGCACAGTCAGGGCACAAGGGACACTTCTCTGCCACAAACCTGTGCTTTGGGTGTCAACTTAGGGAGCCTACAGGAAGCTGTTTCTCCATGTCTTTGAGCTACTTCTCCTCAAAATGATATAATTAATTAGTAGTAGCAATAATAATAATAATTAAGAGTTTATGGTGAGAGTCTGGAAGATGCATTTTCTTCCTGCAGTTGAATTGTTGGCCAAATTTCCCTGTGTGGATTGCACAGAATCTCCCTCATCAGGCACAAATCAGCTTTTCAGGTTCCTGCTGCTCTCAGACCTATGTGCAGAGCAACCTGGAGAGCTTCACTGGAACTGTGAATTCTGGAGCACAGCACAAAGGCCTGATCTTCCCTCTAACTGCAGGAAGCATTTGCTCCTGTCAGCATGAGAGAGCTTCGTGTGCTGGTGGCAGAGAGCCACCAATCATTTCTTCCTTATCACAATATGGGAGAGGACTTTCCTTCTGCCAGCTCTCACTTACATCTCGGTATTTTTACAACTTTGTGATTTCATTTCTCTCTCTGTGCTTAGACTTCACTTATCCCAAATCCTGCATCTGTCTGAAATGGTTCTGCAATCTCTAATCTTTGTTGCCATTCAAGGAGAATCCCACAAACATCATTAAATCCTTACTAATTTACATGGTGTAGCAGGCTGACACGTTTGAAATGAAGTTTGCAGGCTCTCTGGTAACCCACTGCCTTTCCTGAGGGGACTTGGGGAAAACTCTACTTCACATCCAGGAGAGAAGCAAAATCATTAGGGTTTCCTGAGCTGCTCCCATATATGTTTTTGCCTTCAGGATTCCAGGTCCCTAGAGTTAATTCAGACCATAAAGAAGCCTTGTGGGATAACACACAAATCAGTCTTTCACCTTCACTCAGATACTTTCACCTTCAAAAAGCCAGGAAAGAGCAAGGGATCAGAGCTGAAGAGCTGCAAAACAGCTAATGTATCACGCCTCAGCTGATTGGTTTTTTACTACTGTAGTTCAGTAGGAATTCTTAATATCTGCTTCCATAAAAATAAGTAATGAGATCTTCATTAGGTGTGATGTGATCTCTGTAATAGGGAACAATTACACCATGTGAGCCAGAAGTTCTGCTGAACCTTTAGCTATGAGAGGAGATCTGCAATTCCAAATGCACATGGAGTGTTCTGTCTCAAAGCACAGTGGCTGTGGTCTGACTCTGTCATTGGCTGTTGGCACCTGGGAGTCAAAAGAAACTAAATCAGGAGATCTTGTGAACAGGCACTGATGAAATGGTTGATGGGGCCTTTGGGAAGAAACAAGTCCCTGTCTTCTTCCAGTGAGAGAAACTCCAATGTACAGTCTCCATGCTTTTTTCCCCTTGATAATGGCTGCTGTTTCATACTTCAAAAAAAAAGCAAGGTGGCAAATACATGGCAGGGCATTATGAGAAAAGCCTTCCAGACCAAAAGACCAAGTTCTATACTTGGATTTCCCAAGCCTGAGCTAATCTTCTTTCTGAGAGGGCCATGACAGCAACGGGCATGCTTTTTGATTCATCAGAACAAGGATATCATGTATCAATGCAAATTAAATTTATCATTACAAAGTTTTCTTCCACATTTTCAGAATACAATAATAAATTCTCTTGAGATCTTCTGAGTAGACCTCCTGGAGTATACACCTGGGGTATTTTTTTGCCAGAATCTCACAGATACTCATACCATTTAAGTACATGGAGGTAATTTTTTCTATATTGATTCCACTGTAATGCAATTGAACTTCCACACATGACATATCAGTGCTGTAGCAGTTTGTATGCTGCAAAATCTCAGCATCTTTTATTTATTTACTTCAGTAAATCCAAAGCACGACACATCCCAAGCATCACTTCTGTTCCCCTGGATGTGCCTGTTGGTTCTGTCTTGTATGAAGGACACGTTTCACATTAAGAAACCAGGAGTATTGGTATTACTGTTCAGTAGTCCTTGTATATGATACAGCATTTGCTTCCTACCACCTCCACACTGACTCCACAAACCCCCAGGCACTGTCATAACTCTCAGAGAAAACAATGTGTATCAGGGTCAGTGTGGTCAGTCAGGACACTTCTGGACAGGTGAATTGATGGTCACATCATCACATCAACTCTTCCTCTTAGAGAAACTCTGCTTAACATTTTTTCCCAGTAGTTGACCAGTGCACCCCTCAGACTGAATTACTCAGAAGCTTGTTATATCCAGAAGTAGATACATAAATGAAACCTCATTAGAGAAATTAGACTGTATCAGCAGCGCAGCTGCTCAAAGCCAAAGGCACAGCTTCCCTCTCTTTATGGATCTTGAAGAAGTGAAGCAGTTCGGTGGGTGGAAAGGTCACTTCTTGAAAAAGAAACTTTTCTAAGCTGTTTCATGCCACACTTTGAGAAACACTGTGAAACTGGTACCCTTACCTCACCTGCCTCTTGTCTGGCAGAAATATGGCCCAGCAGACAAGCCTGTCCAGAAGAATTAAAAGAAGCCTTGGATGTAATACTGAGACTTGTTTTCTGTAATCCATGAAGTGTCTGACATGGAGGAACAAAGGGAAAATTCTGTGTTGTGTGAGTTTTCATCCTGGGAGCCTCTCTGTCAGTCTGAACCTCTGGAGAATTGTGTGGTGTCCAAGATGCCTTTATAACTATGGTTTTGATGGTTAAGTAGCTCCGAAGAGATTAAGAGGTACCAGTATATGCCTAACTGTAACGTGGAGGCTCTGCTTTAAGAGAGTCTCAATTGAAAAGCTGTGTGTAAGTTGTACATAGTTGGAATTTTTCAGCTCTGGAAGCTGAAGAGCCCTTCCTGAGCTCAGCTGTAAGGCAGAGGACAAGGAGCTGAGTGTCCCCAGCTGTGAGGACATGGCCCCTGTGCTGGCTGCCTGATGGGGAATTTCTGAACTGAAAAGGCAGGAATGAGACCATTTTTCCTTTCATATTCTCTGTAGGATAATCTGTGCAGGTATCTGCCTCTGCACACCAAGGAGACTTTACTGCTTTAATTACAGTGCTGTAATTAAGGAAGTACCACTCTGCCTTGCTGGCAGCCCTGTGATTTATGGAAGCAGCATCTCTATGTTTAATATCTCCAGTCAGAGGCAGCTCTCTGGCAGCCTCTAATTTATCTATTAAACATTTTATTTTAGTATCTCAAAGACCATCTAAGTCTACAAAATACTTTTACACTTTTTACATTTTTAGTTCCAGTATTTTTTTTTAAGTTTCCCTATTCTTCTATTAGTGGATTTGAACTGGAAGTTAAGGTGCATCTTGGCTTTACTGGCCCAGCCCTGGAGTGCACAATGCACTCTGATGGTTTTTTTCTGTGAAGCTCTTACCAGCGACATTTTCCAGGGCTAGCATGCTCCACTGTGGGAGGTGTTTCCTGGCAGGGCTTCCAAAAGGACCTGGGCATTGCCAGTCCTGAGTTCAGCCTCTGTCCCTTTTGGAACTGGAGAGTTATTCCTTCTGGCTGAGCAGGGCAGTTAATGGTTTGACCCAGGGCAGGCACAGCAGTGGGAGGAGTGAGGTTGGCTGGGTGACCCAGGTGCTGGGGTGAGTCAGATGCAAGAGGCTGCTGCACCCAGTTGAGACTCCCAATTCAGTCTCAGTATCCCTTCTTCCAGGTGGGTATTTCAGTCAGCAAGTTTCTGATTATTCTGAGCTGACTTGTTCTTTTATAGACACATTACAAACTGCTTCATATTATCTCAGTTTATTTCCGCTGCAGAAAAATGTTTTAAACTTAAATTTACTTGCTGAGAGAGTATTTTTGTCTTTCAGGCAACCTGATGTTTTTCAGTTTCTTCTGTATTTCTCATTTCTCTATTAAAAAGCTGTTTCATGAGCTCTTGAGATCTGTAAGGCTACAGCCTTACAGAGTATTTGTACCTAATGTCATTTTTATTCTTCTCACTCATGAAATCAGGTTGGTGCAACTGAAATGTGGAACAGTGAGTGGGATGGCAGCCACCATCTCTATCTCGTGTCCATATATTATCATATGGTCTCACTTCAGATATTCAGGGTATTTACTGTCTAGTGATAATGTGTATTCTTTTTTTTCCAAGTGAGACAGTAGAAAAATATACTGTTTCATTTTCGTTAAAGCCATTTTTATTCAATAGATATTGACAGAGCTTTGGCTGTAATTTCTGCTGCAATGCCAGGGGAGGGTTTTCTGGAGTTCTATCGATGTTTCCATAAGAGGAAAGATAACTTAGAGAGAGAAGCAGCAACTATGCTTAAGTAGCCTTTATAGGTGCATGGTATTGAAAGAGTTTATCTCTTCCCTACAAAAATCCCATGTAGTAAAACATTTTTCCTGGATTATCAGAAAGCCTGACTAATGTTTTCAGCATGGAGAGAGCTGCTGTGCAGCTGCTTGTTCAGCTGTGGAAACCACCAAAGCTCTCTGGGCTGGGGATTCTAAGGAACACAATTAATCCCTCTTTATTTCCTCTCGTTCCAGTGCTCATGATCTGACCAAATGGGATCTGTTCAGTAACTGCTACAGATTGCTGAGAACTGGAATTGAACACGGAGCTATGCCAGAACAGGTACCCTGAACAAAACCTGCACTTCATCACTGAGGTGTCCGAGATCTAAGGAATCTGCTTGTACAGAAATGCTAAAGTTCTATGTGCTTCAGTGATGTGGGAGGAACTGAGTTTGAAATTAAATTTATAGTGGAGCTAAGGGCTGTCTAAGAGGTGGAAGACCTTGGATTCTGTGATTTTTCTGTGAGCTCCTTCCCTCACCTTTCTCATCTGTAAAGTTGGGAATAGCTAGTGTTCCTGACTCTGAAAAGCAGTGCATCAATCCTGATGTTTACACTGAAACCAAACATTGTAAGCCTTGGCTGCAGTTAGAATTATCACAAATTATTATTGTGCATGGAAGGTAAGATGAAAGCTTATGAAGACCAGGAAACTAGAACATCCTAGTGGAGTTCTTTTAGTGAACACATCTTGGACTTTGTTCCCTCAGATTCCATTTTTGTTTCTCATGGATGAGCAGTCTGCCAGCCAGCCTTGGTTTCCGGGTCTGACAGTGTATGGCTCTCCAAATGCCTCCATAATATTTTAGGGGAAAGGTCCTGAAATCGGAACTCTGCTCAGTATTTCTTCCTGCAGGCCACCCTGAGAAGTTTGGCAGTTGTAGCACCTCATCTGGATTTGAACTGTTCAGGAGACACCATGGATGCTTTTCTGGGCACCAGGAATATGACCCTGGTCTTCTTCATGGGACAAGTTGTATTTTCTCCCTTTTTTTAGCCATTGGCCTATATGTTCATTTGCCAGTGGAACAGATTTCCAGGCTGCTTAGTAGTGAAGCCAGGTTTAGAGATATTTCAACAGATGCTTTTGACCTGAGAGATGTAGGGATTGGGTTGTACTTCTGTCATGCTTTGACATCCCCTTCTGCTGTACCCCAGTGCTGTTTTCTGGTGTTTCCCAGATATACACAGTATTTTTTCACCTCTAGTAGGCTGATTTCTTATTGCACCAAACCAACCAAGGAAAAACTTGATAACCTTGAAAATAAAAAGTGCTAAGAGCTGTTCCTGTCTTTTCACCACAAAATGCATGATAGATTTTCCATATACTTCCTGCTGTGCCTGCTGTTAGCAGCGTGCTGAGATTCTGTGTGTTCTTGTGTTACAGATCGTTGTCCAAGCACTGCAATGTTCCCACTACTCTATTCTCTGGCAGCTGGTGAAAATCACTGAGGGCTCCCCTTCCAAAGTAAGTGGCCATTTGATCAAACAGATTTTACTGACAGAACACAACTTACCTAGAAAGGTGTTACACCTGATTTCTTTGTAACTTCCATTCTTGCCATCATTTGTTTCATTTATAACATACACAGGATCTGTTTAACATTGTGCATGTGTCTAAGCAATGCAGATAGTTTTTATCAGGATTTTATGGCACCTGATTATTACATTTTTATTGTTGAGGATGATTAACACACTTTATTGTGAGTATTGCAGTTTGCATGGCTGATAAGGAATGTTGACACGAACATTTGTGAGCAATACCATTGATCTGTAGACCACAGATAGCTTAATCTTGATGTGTAGTTACCTTGCTTATTCTCTAATTACACCCTTTATGTTGCAATAGAAATGGCAGGACACTGGCAGTAATGATTGTTAATAAAAAGCAAATGCACACAGAATATTATACAGTCAGGACAAGGTGACATGACTTTTCCAGGACCTTTCCTTAGCTCTTTTCTGAGTCAGAGGCCAGCATCCTGTTTTTTCACAGCTTTTTCAAAAGTAATATATCAAATTAAAATTATGTGAAAACTCAATTATTGTACTTCTCCATCAGCATCAAAAGGGTAAAAATGTTATACTGAAGTTCTACTCAAATCAGCTTTTTATGCATAGAAAAGTGATAAAAATACATAGTAAATTCTCTGAGTTGTTTTGAATACTAATACTGAAAATAACTACTAGAAAGGAAGGAATAATTGTTATTTATTCTGGCTTTTGTTCCCATTTCTCTATAACCCTCTTTCTCCTTAGTGTGCATAGGCTGCTGGTTCCTGTGAAACTGAGTGCTCAGAGCACCTGGGCACTGTCTACAAAACCTTTTTTCAGTCTTCCCCACCTGCTCTGGAGTGCTGGGTGGTGCTGGGGTTCTCACCCACTCCTGAGGACTCCAGCAGCCCTGTCCTCCTGCCTGCCCTGGGGGCAAATGCCCAGACACTTTTGAAATTCACATCACGTGTCACTGTATTTCTCCATTTTTTTGAGCAAACTACAATAAATTGCTGCAGTATGGCACAGGTGGTGCAGGGACAGCTGTCAGCATTGCTGGAAAAAAGCTTCATGTTTACTTGTGTTTCACTCACAGCAAAAGAAGCATACTTAACTGTAACCTCCAGCTGGGGATTAACAAACAGCCTCTCTCTGCATGGAGTGAGGTATAAACTTTGCATTTTGGTGCCCAGGCATTCATGTGGTTGCTGTTACATCGTGACCATGATGGCCCAATTCAACTGAAAGAGAAAAAGGCCTTTATTTTTTTCAGTGGCTGAGATGTTCTCGCAGACAAGCTTAGTGCAATTGTATGGCTTTGCCTACTTTTTCAAAATAAGATGTTGTTTTTTCCATTGGGAAATAATTTTGCCCATGGCTGGTGTATAAGTCATTATTTAGTCTTGGAAGTTAGTAGACAAAGGCATTAACAGAAGCATCTCAGAATGAAAAACAGTTATTTCATGGGTATTTTGGAAGTATTCAGGCTTTTATGGGAACATTTCTGGGACAGCAGTTTATTATGTAGGTCCATGCAGGTTTCTAGGGCTGCTTTGCTGTTTCTATAATGATCTCAGGGCAGAGAAGGGTGATGGTGTGTAGCCTCACGTGGCATCTTTAGTAGACCAATGGATATAACAAAAAGTAGAGAAGGTTTTGGGCTCACAAGCCTTCCAGATTTGAGATGAAAGTAGAAGATTACAAAGTAAAAGACCAGCTGGAAGCAATTGGTTGGTTTCTAGTTAGATACAAATCGGATAAACTCTGACAGGGGAGAAAAAGACCATTGGTGCCTGCAGAGGAGGAGTGAGAGCAGGGAAGGGAGAGGAAGTAAGAAAGTTAGGAGGAGAATTAGTGGAGAAGGAAGATAGATAAAATATGAAAATGGAGAGAAGAGGAATTTATCATATGTCATAAAACTAAGCTTAAGTCTTTGGTTTTCTGTATCCCATAGATTTATGAATTTTTGTTCCCAGGCTCATGTTTCAAATAGGATTTTTTAGCTTTCCCTTGAACAACTATGCTGAGAGATCAGAGATGGAGGGATTGATTTGTAAGAAATGTTCATCTGCTGCCAGGGTCATTTATGTGACCTCATGCTGGCAGTAGTTTCACTGCTCTGTTTCACCTCGTGAGGTCCCATCTAGATAGTCTATGAACAGGATAAAGTATATGAACATTTTGGAGCTGTAAATAACAGGAATAAAAGATGGAAACAGATATCTTGGCAAGTTTTAGATTTGTTGTTCATCTGTGCTTTGCATCCATGAGGTGTACCTTATATTGCAGGGAGTTTGCAGGTGTGATAGGGAGTTCTAATAAGGTTTCCTTTGAAGTGAATTCTTTGGCTACAGTTCAGAATTGCTTGGTAATTTTTATATCTTGTATTGATTCTGCGGTGGAGTCATACTTGACAACCATAGGCATACACTGGGAACAGAGCTGTTTTGAAATGAAATTACTTTTTGTCTGGTGTTCAAATGGCTTCCAAAATACAGCTCTGTCCTAAGAGAACTGTCCTTGTTTGGGAACTGTGCAAGGCATTATGGCCAAGCCAGGGCACATTAATTGCTGGATGAGGGATGCATCATATTACAGCTATTGGGCATGTTCTGGATCATGGCCCCATACCTGATCCAGCTGTTTTGACCTGGAGCTTCCATGTGTGTGGCAGGGAAAAGCTCAACTCTTGTGGTTTAAATCTAATTAGGATCAAGTCAGCTCATTGATTTATTAACAGCACATAATTGACCTACAGCTAGGGCCACATAGCTTCAGGATAACCGTCAGCTCTACAATACAGGACCAGAATATTGGACGCTTGTATAATGTTAATGAACACCTACAAATTCCAAAATTGCTCTTCAGCTGGCCACAGGTTACTGAAGTCCCTTCCCCAAGATACACATGAAGAGTTCTTGTTTTTCCTAGCTGTTATCAGGGGGTGAGATGCCCCTCACTGTTCAACATCATTTGTAAAAAAGCCAAAGGGAGTGCCTTTGATACATTTTTATCAGCATAAAAATGCATCAAAGATCTTTTAGCAGAAGAATGATAATTAATGATTATTTGAATTATTAAGAAAGTCCAGATTCTCTGCCCAACAACAAAGATTTCACCAGTTAAATACAGCAGAGAGTTATTTTGAAACACTTCTTCAAGCTAGCCTGTGGAGAGAAGGGTGTCCTGTGGAGTCATCTTGGTGTCTAAAATCTGAAAGGAAAAATTGATTACTGAAAGGAAGGCTGCAGCAGGTAAGAATGAAATCTGTAAGCCTTGAAATATCCACAGTCTGATGTTTTAACCTTTAGTCTCCCTCTGTCCCTGAGGCTGTGGTCCTGTTTGTGCAAACTGGTGCTCTTTGGGGTAACCAGCACTGTACTGGGGGGAGAAAGCTCATCCTCCATAGCTTGTGGGAGCAGCCTCTTGTAGCCTGGAGGAAAAGTCCTCCTTAGGTGGGAAGGGGTTTGATGGTGGTTCTAAAGGAAACTGGTAATTTTTCCCCTGGAATTCTCTCATCTGTCAGTCTTGGGGGGCAAGTACAGTCCTGAGGCAGGAGACTTGGGGATTAGAGCAGACACTTGTTTCCTCCTGGATTTCTTCAGCCATGTCTCAGGTACCTAGGACATTGTACTGTGCACTGTATGTGTATGTACTGAGAAGGAAATACTTACAGAACAAGAGTCCTAAAACTTAGAATAATAAAAATAAAGCATGACTAGAGCAAACATTGAGAGGCAAGACAAAGGTCAGCCAGTTGTGAGTAAGCAGCAGCCAGAGTTGCCAAATGCATGGCTATTAGAGTGTGATTAGTGGGCAGAGGACTTAGGGGAGGGGGTTTAAAAGGGGATTTAAAGAACAATGTGATCACTTGGTGACTTTTCATATGGGCATGATGACAGAATGCAGAAAAAGCTAAAGGGAGAAAAAAGTCACAAGGTACAAAAGGTTTGGACCGTTTTCCACAGTTGGGGTGAAAGCTGAGGGTTCTTCAACCCTGTGAAGCTGAAGTTAATACTGCAAATAATAAGTAATTCAGAGGAAAAGCAGAGAGCACATAGGAAGAAAAGGATGGGGTTTGGATGATGAATATAGCAAAGGCACAGCATTTTAAAATTACTTCAATGGAAAAAACAAGCTTTAATTTAAAGCTAGAAAGTACCTGAAGAATTGTAGACACAGGTATTTCAGCACCCTGGTTTGGGTGGTGGCACAGACTCCAGTCCTTGCTCTCAGCAGCTTGTTCCTGCCATGGAGCAGTTAAATTGCAGAGTTGTGACCTTGTGGTTTTGTCTAACAGCCAGCAGGATGATAAAATGGTTTCATAGCAGCTTTTCTGAAGGCAGATCAGGTACTCACACCTCAAGAACCTGGGCTGTGCACCCCAAAATGCTCAAAGACTTGGAAATCTAATTATTTTTTTCCTTCCCATTTTCTCTGTTGAAAAAAAATCTCCACTCTTCAGCAGTCTGGGGATTTCTCCAAACTCAGGAGAGTTCCAGATGGCTCCATTGCACTGTTCAGCTGGGCTTTCTCCTGCTGTCTTAACTTTGCAATAGGAATCTCTATCATGCTGTGCTGTCAGGAGAGAGGGTAATAAATATACCATGAACCTGCTTGTTACTCACTTTGACAAAAAGAAAATTGGGAGATATACCCCATTCCCTTTTTAACCTATATGTAGTTTTTTTCATAGGTTTTAGTTTCTCTGTTGAGTTCATGAGCATCTAAATGGAAGGTAACTGCAATAGAAAGCTTGAAGGTGATTGTAATCCCAGTGCCTAAAGGGGTAAATCAGGTGTTTATGTAACAGTGAACTGATAAGCCTGGCGTCAGTCCTAGGTGGAATCTTGGTGTAGGAGATAGAAAACACAGTTGGTACAAGGCTGAAGGGCCAAAAGCTAAGATTGGAAGAACCACATCAATTTCTTGTTGACAAGATGGCATTTTTGACTGAGAAGAGAATCAACTGAAGCACCAATGTCTCTAAGACATTAATACCACATTGCATTTCAGGTGTGTGTTTGGATTTAATGTAACTCATATTCACTAGCTCAAAACTGATCCATATATTAAAGAAAAATTGTAGGTGAGCAATCCTTGCTCAATTGAATAGTTTCTGATGCATTCTGGGAGAGATCTGTTCTCTCCTATGAAAGGGTAATTTTTATCAGTCATCTGAGAAGGCCCTGAAAATGGGAATGATATAGATCAATTGGTGAACAAAACACAGTTTAAATTTTTTTAAAAGAGCACCTTAATGCTGTCAAATGGAAGGCTTATATCCAGGAAAAAAAAAAGAGAAGTGCTTAATGGCAAATTGTGGATTAGACAGAGCAGAGCTGTATTACAGATTCTGCAATGGCAGGGTAATGCAGTAGCACCATGGCTGCATCATCAGAGAAAAACTGCTCAGGAATAGGAAGGTGAGGGAGGGCACAGGCATTCAGTGTCCATATCAGCAAATCCCACTCACTCCATTGGAAGTGATGAGAAGTTCAGAGCTTTGGGAATGCTCTGGGTGCTTGGGCACGCTGACATTCGTGTGTTGTGCTGTGAACCAGCACAGGGAGAACATATGGACCACAAAAAGGCTCTGCAGTAAACACAGAACAACGAGAGCTCGTGGCAGGAAGCACAAGAAAAGCTAAAACCAGAACTGAGACACATGGGCTGAACAGCCAGCATCAGTAAAACATTTCAGCAAGGAAAACATTGCATGTGCATTATGTAGGTTCTTCACATTTGCTTGGAGGTTGTTCTGCAGGACATTCTTCTCTTCCATGTGGAAACTGAGAGGGCTGTCCTGGGGGAAGGTCTGCAGAGCATGGGCCAGCCATCCTGCTGTGAATTCATCTCATTTCATTTAATTTGGGCTTCTTGCTTTCTTTCAGGTGATTGGTTCCTCATCACTGTAAAACCAAGAGACTGTTTCTGTGTGTGTTCTCTTTGAATAGCTTATTTCTTTCACAGCTTTTTGTTGAATGTATGAAATCACCACAATTTCTTTATTTTGCTTCCTCCAAGAAACCTCTTACTAATTTTTATATACTTTCTTTTTTAATGTTTATTCCAGGAGGACTTGTTGGTATTGAGGAAAACTGTGAAATCCTTCCTGGCTGTCTGCCAGCAGTGTCTATCAAATGTCAATACTCCAGTCAAAGAACAGGTAAAGGAAATGTCTGTCTCTTAGAAAAGTGAGTGTTAAATTAGTAGTAAAACTCAAGACAATACTACATCAAACTTAAAGTAAAATAATCTGTGCTCCTGTCTAAATAAATCTGAACAAACAGCCCAGAACTTCAAAGCATAGCTCATGACAAATTAACTTTTGATTAACAGTAAGGAAGAATTACCTGGATGCTCAGGCTCATTTCCAGCCCTCGTGACTTCAAGCATCCAACTCAGTCACCTCAGATTAAAAACTTTTCCTGCAGACACTGGATTAAAAGATGGAAATAGGCAATTTTGGAGGGTGACTGAGACTTCAAATGGGCTGAATCTTTTTGGATTTTTCCCTATTGAATCAAAGGGTTTGTTAAAATAATTAAGCCTGCCTCTGCAGGACTTAGCATCTGGTTTGTTAGCTGAGGTTATATGAATATACACTGATTTATGTCAATGACGTTTGTTTACAAATGGCATTTCTATCAGACCTCCCCAGATTTTGCAAAGAGTATAACTAATAACTGGCCTGTGTTTTTTGCCTGTGGTATTTAAAAATAATACTTCTTAAAAGACACTTTTATTTCTTTGAAAGATAGCTCTGCTTGGCATTTACTCTTTGTCCTTCAGGTTGCTAAATATAAACATTAAATGCTCAGAGATGTCAGTAGTTTATGTATTTCTAAAAGACTTGTGTGTTATTGGCTTCCAGCACATTTTACTTTAGTAAATTTTTTTTTTTTAATATTCAGAGTAGTTACTCTTAGCATATTATATTAATACTATATAATGTGAAAATACCTTCTAGCTCCATACAAATACCTCCCTTCCAGCTTGAGCTGGACCCGACATCCTTCCTACCTCAGCAAATGGCAAATGTTCCTTCCCATTCCTGCAGTGGGTTTCTTCTTGAGGTGTATTAACACGGGTTTGTTCTCTTCTTACCAGTGGCCACAATGGTTTTTTCATTATAATTTAAACTTTATTTAGAAGCTCCTGTCAGTTCCCAGTTGTGGGGAAGTTTTCAAGCCTCAGCCAGACAAACTCATGCCCAAGCAGGCCCAGAGAGTGTCCTGGGTAGCTAGTAGGCTGGACTAGAGACTCCAGGGACCCATGCCAGCTGACTCTTCTGTGATTTGCTCTTGTTTTATTCCTTAAAAAGTATATGTCTGTGAGTAGCAGGACTGCTACTTATTGCTTTGGTTTTACTGGATTTTTTGAGAATTATGTGCAAATTGTATTGTCTCCCTACCATACTTGATCCTTGCTCCAGACATTCTTTGCAGACAACATTGATGTCCATATCAAATGAAGGAAAACTATATGAAGTATTTAGAGAAACAAGACTGAAACATTTCAACTTTTCCATGAGTGTTTGAAGGAAATAAATATCCTGTGACTGAGTCCACTGCTGCCTTTATATTGGACAGAATTCAGCACCAGCAGTGCATTACTCATCTGCTCTTTTTTAGAGGTCTGCATTAGGATGAGTTTCAGTTCTATTGAGTATCAGGGGAGTTTAGAGCAGGTTAGATCATCACTGGAATGAATCACAGCCTTTTGCATCAAAGGGAGAAACATCCCAAATAGCAACATCTGTTCCTAATGCCTCAACAGAACATAGTTTACAATGATTTGCATCTGTTCTTGCCCAAATGTGGCTTATCCCAGAAATAAGGGAGCCACTAGGAAGTGTGGCATTTACAGATTATATTTTGGAAATTTGTAAAGTTTTCAGAACCTGAGGTTAAAAATAGAGAAGCTATGAATAAAAAGGCTTCAGAAAGGTGCTGAATGTGATCAAAAGCAGACAGCTGGCTGTGAGACCCCAACAAAAGCCATTTGGGGGCAAAACGAGTTATCATCATGCAGGAATGAGCCCTTGGAAGAAAGGAAGGTAGTGACAGCTGCCTTCTTTTCCTGTCTCAGATAATGAGGGTATAATAGTAATGAGCATAAATTGTGGACAATTCTGCCCAGGTTGGCTTTTGTCTGGATTTGAAAGCTGTGCAGACAAACGTGGTTCTATTTTTGCAAGAGCTTTTGATGAAATTCTGCAAGAATTTCCTTGCTATGGCTGTTTGTCTGTATTTTTGGGGTCTGACAGTGACTCAGCTTGAATTTTCCCTCAGTGTTGTTCATGTTTTCACTTGTTTGCTTTTTTTTGACTGTTTATCAAAAGAGGTGTGCTCTCTTTACTACAAATTATGCTTCAGGCCTTGGATCAGAGATAGAGATAGAGTTTCTTTGCTAGAGAAGAAATATAAATTTAATACGGGTCATCTGGGACAAGGAGAAGGTAGTAACCACAGTTCCTGACCTAGGAACCAAAGGCACAGCATTCCAATGTAGAGGAAACCATTATGGAATACATTTCACAGCACATAAACAACTACACCTGGTAACAGTTTAAGAAGCTGTTTAATAGTAGCAGGGGATATCTGGAAGTTAGATCAATGGTACTTTGCTTTCCTTTCTTGACTTGTCACTGCATTTATTTTCTTTTGCCTTTCAGGCTTTCATGCTGCTCTGTGATCTCCTGATGATTTTTAGTCACCAGCTGATGACGGGAGGTCGAGAAGGGCTCCAGCCTTTGGTGTTCAATCCAGACTCAGGCCTCCAGTCAGAACTTCTCAGTTTTGTTATGGATCATGTGTTTATTGACCAAGATGATGAAAATCAGAGCATGGGTATGTTTCGATTTTTTTTTTTTTTTTCATAACAGACACAGAAGAAAGGAGAAAATAGAATTTTCTGATCAATTTCTTCATGTTTTCAGAAGAATTCCTACTTTATTTTTGGAAGGTCACTACTCTGAAGTTTCTTATATATGTTATGGAATATGCTTTTATTATATAATAACTATATTTAAAATTTTATCTGTAGTTTATTTTTCATTCACAGAGTGAAGCCTTGCATAGGGACTCAATATTTATGGCATTGCCATTCAGTGTTAATGCTTTTTACAACTAGATTTTACTTTCTGTTGTTCAGAGCCATTGACTTCACATATGAAAATCCAAGGCATGCAGAAGTGTACTGGTGCTTCTGATTTTTCTTTTATTAAATATTTATAGCTTAGTGAAATTACTGGAGCCTCTGTGAAGAATCCTGTGTTTGAGAAGTGAGAGCATTCAGCAAGTGTTCAGTGTGGCCTTTCACAGGGTCTAGGAAATAAATGACTCAGTTCCATGTGGATTATATTCAGGATCTCAGGATAATGGAGAGCAGCCTTGGTCAGTGGTGTGTCATGTTCCTAAACTTCCCAGGAAGTTTTCAAGTAGGCAGGACTCAAGACTTACCACCTTTCATTTTAGCTTCTTCTCCAACAATCCTTTTTTCTTAATGTTCTAGAATGGATATTTTTTCTAAAAGCTCCCCTTTGATAATGTTGTTTTAGAGCTTAACAGTAACTTACAAACATTCTGTTGTTGATGATGCTTTCAGAGGGAGATGAAGAAGATGAAGCCAACAAAATAGAAGCTTTACATAAGAGAAGAAACCTTCTGGCTGCCTTTAGCAAGCTGATCATTTATGACATTGTGGACATGCATGCAGCAGCAGATATCTTCAAACACTATATGAAGGTACAGGATGTGCATCCTCGTATCCTAACTGAGCCCAGTCTGCAGTGTTAGGGCTTCTCCTGCCATCCCTGCCAGGACTGTGGTTAGAGCCCAAACACTCCTGAAAACGTTTTCAGCTTTATTTGATCCTGTGTGGTACTTTTCCCTTTCTAAATGACACGTGGCACCGAGCAGCAGCAAACTCTGACCTCTTTGTAGCACACATGCTTCATTTAGGGCAGCACCAAAAGCTGGTCCTGAGGTGCTGAGTATTTCCAGAGAGGCTCCACTCTACAGAGTTTCTTACCCTACTCCTCAGATTCATCTCTAGAATCCCCAGTAAGTTACCTGTTCCGTGTCATGTTCCACTGTCAGTCTCCCAGGCATGCTGGTTGCCATGAGGTGGCAGGGCTCTTGTCAGAGGAGGTTGGCTTAAACAGGACAGCAGGAATTAAAAAAGCTCTGTATGGTTGTGCTGTAAGTGGGTCTGTGGTGACTGAGTATCTTCTCAACTTTGGCTGCTTCCACAGAGCTTTTAGGCCCAGTGAAGGTGAGAAGGACCTCAGCTCCTGCTGCCCCTGTGCATGGGAGTTCACCTGCCAGAACAGGCACATCAGGAGTCCTGCCACTGACCCCTCAGGTCCTGTCTCACCTGTCCCTGCAGAGGATTTGGTTATCACAGAGATGACAATCCAGGGGGAAGAACTGGAAGACAGAGCAGGTCCTTTACTATAGACACTGTTTGAGATGATGGTGTGAAATGTAAAGGGTTTAACTTGAAATTCTGCTGTTCATCAGACTCACACAGCACAGTAAAATTCCCAGGACATACTGTAGCCATCAGTCAGGGTTAGTCTTGCTTAGGGATTCTTTGCCAGAATGGGAGTTTGAAACTGAAGCTGTCACCATCCAGGTGAGTTCCCTACCTGCTGCTCTAGGTTGGGCTTCTCCTCTTCCCATGCCCCTCCTTCTCCTAATACTGGGGGAGAGGGAGAGAAATTTAATTTGAATTACTACCAAAAAAGGCAAAAGCAATATTTTAGAAGGAATGAAAATAACTGACTGCAAATGCAGAAACATCCATGAGGCAGAAAGAATACTGTCAGGGGAAAAAAAGCCTATTCTCAACTTGTGACAATAATACAGCTTTTCTACCCAGATGGGCAACACCATAGGCTGTGGCTTTCAGCAACCATTCTGTTAACATAAAGAGAAACAGCACTCCATGCTGACTCATTCCTTACTCCCCTTTTTGGCTGTGGTGAATTCCTTTTCCCTCAGTGCACAAGGAGCACACACCTCTATGCTGGTGTCTGTTCACACCTGCTTCTTAAGGGGGTGTTGGATCAATGGCATGTTGTTGCTTGGAATTGGCAGCCCTGAGTCACCTTCATCAAGTGCGTTGTTTGGGGCAGGAAATGCTCTTTTGTTTGGCTTTCAACATGTTTGTTACAAAAGATAATAAATACAGGAGTTCCGTACCTTATCACAGGGTTTGGTTTAAATTTTGATACTGAAACATTCCCCTCACACCAAAAATCTGGATTTGAGCAACTGCTGCCTTTTCAAATCAAGCATTACAAGTAATCTTTCTCTTTGGAAAACTGTAAGAAATTGTATAAGATATTTGATTTAAAGGTTTTTGGGTTTTTTCACATTTTTTCTTAGTACTACAATGACTATGGAGATATCATTAAGGAAACCCTGAGCAAAACCAGGCAAATTGATAAAATCCAGTGTGCAAAGACACTCATTCTCAGTTTGCAACAGGTAAGAGCATTGATTTTTTTTTTTTTTTTTTTTTTTTTTTTTTTTTTTTTTTTTTTTTTTTTTTTTTTTTTTTTTTTTTTTTTTTTTNCCCTAGCCAGGATTTCCTCTGATGCACTTTACAGGGAAGCAGAAATGCTGTACTTCCTTAGGACATTTTCTTCATTTCCCTGCTCCCCAGGTTCAGGCTGTCACTGCTCCTTTGTCTCAGTAATCTCTGTCTCCAAAGGCTCACACTGGCAAAGTTTGGGCAGATAAAAAAGCAAGGGAAGAGGAGAGCCTTGGAGACAGTTTGGTCCAAGGTGATTCATGGCATTTGTTTATTGATCTCAAGTCAACAAGAAGAATTAGGATGGCTTTTATTCTTAGCATTTGCTGAATAATGCATCTTCCTTGTACTTTGTCTAAATACTGATTAATTTTTCAAATTTCAAGCTAATTAAGTCTTCCAATGCTGTTAGACATGTTTTTTCCCAGAAAAATTCACTTTACATCCATCGTAAATTACTACCTGGTGTTGAAATCTATCAAGCAACAGCACAAAGTGCACTAAATACCACTTAGGCCCTTGAAGTGCCAGCTATAGCCATTGCTCAGAGAAATTACTTCTGCTAATTAGATGCTCTCAAATGAGCTGGACCTCCCAAAGTTCCTTCCTAAGGGATTTCCTGTAGCAATCTGGAAGCTGAGAGAGATCTGTACAAACCTGAGAAAGACAGATGTACTTCCAGAAGAATCAAGGAGTGTCAAAGCAGCCCATGTCTGTAGAACTTGGCAAGGAGGAAGCAAGTGCCACAGATCAGTCAGGCTGACAAAATTCCATGAAAAATGAGAGGAACTCTTTGCAAGTGCCTCAGTGATAGGTAGCAGCCAGTGTGGATTTGTCAAGAAGGAATCCTGTCCAATTAAGCTGTTGTCATTAATTACATGGTAACAGAGCTTTTGGAGATGAAACATTGTCTGTAATGGAGCCTGATTTAATATCCTCACTGACACCGTCTGCCAGGACAGCCTCAGCAACCAGTGAAAGAGATGAGGTGTAAATGGCAGTGCCAGGAGAGGTGGAACTGGCTGGAAAAGCATCAAGCTTTTCAATACTGTGTTGGGAGGGCCTTGGAGGCAGCAGTGCTGGGCAAAGGGGCCCTGAGGCTACAGTGCAGGAGCTGCAGTTTTGATCCCGAAATCCTGATCTGATGGGTGATGGAGGTACTTAAGAGAACAGCATGACAATGCAGAACTCTTGATGAGTTGGGAGAATGATAGATGGAATTCAGGGAGGATGGGTGCAGAATTCCACCAAAACAACTCCGTGCAAGTACAAGCTGGGGGACAGCTGGCAAACAGCAGAGGGACAGAAGAAATTCTGGCAGGTGACAGGGGCTCCATTATGTCTCAGTCATTGCACAGGCCATTCTCAGGTGGAGCAGGTTTAGAACCCAAGTCTTTCTCAGTGAAAGTGTTTCCCAGCTCACAGATGTCAACTTCTGAACTCTCTCTGCAGCTGTTCAATGAGCTTGTTCAGGAGCAAGGTCCCAACCTGGACAGGACATCTGCCCACGTAAGTGGCATTAAGGAGCTGGCCCGGCGGTTTGCCCTCACTTTTGGCTTGGATCAGATCAAGACAAGAGAGGCTGTGGCCACACTACACAAGTGAGTGGTGGTAAATAAACTAGATTTTTACACTACTTCAGATTAAAACTCTTGTTCAGCATTCCCTTTCTCAGGATACATAATCTCAACAGGCCATGGAATAATTATATTTTTTTTTCTACTTTAAATGGAGGGGTCTACATGTATGTAGGTAGATAGGAAACAAACTAGCTGCTACCTAATTTTTTTTTTTTTTAAATGTATTGGCTTGGTTATGTTTGTTTATCTCAGGTGTGTTGTGTCTAACAACTGAGGATGGTTCCTTGTTCCACACCACTGTGGATTCTGGAGGAACTAAGGGCAATGAAAAGATACTCCAAAAATATTTTGGAAATCTTTTAAAGTGGACTGAAAATTCTTATGCAACTGCTGCATAGAAAAGCTTAAATGCTAAGATTTGGTGTCTCAGAGACTCAGTCCTTGAGACCAAAATCAACATGACTTGGTCAGGATGCACAAAACACTGTCCTCAGCCAGGCAGGAGTCAGGGGACACTCGTGCCTTGCTGAGTGAGGGAAGGGACAGTGTTCTCTTTAGTCACAGGTGACAAAGCAGAAACGAGTCCTGCTCTGGGGACTCAGTTCTCTGCTCTGACTGCAGAGGTTGGCTCCTGTTTCATCTGACACATTCCATGGAGCTCCTGCCCAGTTCCTACACTGGGCAAGCACCCTCTTACAGGGACTGGCCATGGGCTTCTCTGAGGGGGGGCCTCACAAATCCACAGGGAACTCTGCATTCCCCTTTGTCCAAAAGCTGCTGTTTGCTAGTAAGGGGAATTACATTGTCGTGGTATCTGAGGATACAAACAGTTTCATTACAGCTCAGATTTGGGGCAGCTTTTCTGGTTTTTGAGTTGGGGTTTTTTGTTTGCTTTTTTGAGGTTTGGGGGTTTTTTTGGATTGTTTTTGTTGCAAATGTCTGAACATGTTAATATTTCTGTACTGTAGAGATGGCATAGAGTTTGCCTTCAAATATCAGAATCAGAAAGGACAAGACTATCCACCTCCTAACCTTGCTTTCCTGGAAGTGCTTAGTGAATTTTCTTCCAAGCTCCTGAGACAGGACAAAAAGACTGTGTAAGTAATGCTCTGTTTTCTTCCCTGGGCTCTGTTAATCCCTGTAATGTGAGTTTCAGCTCTCTCTTTTGAGGTTTCTACAATCTTAACTGGAGCTGCAGAAAGTCCTTGAGACATTTCACATGCATACTTACTCATCCTTTCGTGTTTTAAAGTAATAAAAATAAATGGGAAAAGAAAAATCAGACCCACTAATGAGGTGAGTTTAAGACCTCCCCAAAACAATGTTGTTTAAAGTTTCTCACAGGGTATTGAAAATTAGAAGTCCTTTTTTAAGCTACAAGAAAAGAAATTAAACCTTAATAGTGCAGGGAATTTACAGGCTGTCACCACTGCAGTAGGACCTTTTTCTGTTGTATATTTACATAAATTGTAAGCCTGTATTTGTTTCTTTTAATATACTGGAAGAGGACTCCAGTCAAACATCAGCCAAGCACTATGTGCCCAGTGTGGAACTAAATTCACTGAATAACTTAAGGACCAGTTTACAAGTGCAGTTGCCTGATCTGCTGATTTAGGGTTATAGATGTCTTTCCAGTCAATTCTGTGACCTCACTGAGTGTTAGTCAAAAGATCAACTGGAATGACCTCAACTGACTTTCTGTCAGACTTTGCTGGGAAGGTTTGACAGATGTTTTTCTGTGAAGACATTTCTTTAAAAGGACTTTTCTGTTAGGGTTAACAACTATGGACATTACAGCTTTATGTGTGCAGTAAGAAATGCAGCTTGGTTAACTTTATATCATTTTTCATGTGTACACACTTGAACCAATTTCACTTTTTCATTGCATCAATAATTTCTCAATTCAGCAAACACTGGAGGACAAATAGTTAAAGGAGATAGGGAATGGGATGATCCAGTTAGGCTGTCTTGGCACTCCATTTGTGCATCTGCTCGTCATTGTTACATCCTGGAATCTTCTCAGTCTCTATCCTCTTCTTCAGGACAGGACTTAAATATAACAGGATTTTATGGCTTTTCTTCTTAGCTGAAGAGTCTCCTGCATGGTGGTCTAAGTGCCACTGGCCTGTTTCCTGTGAATTTAGTGAAGTTTAACCTTTCAGTAGAGTCATCCCTTCCACAAGTTTCCAATGTCTGACATTTAAAGTTATGTCATGCTGTCCCTGACAGCTTCTGTTCACCTGAGCCTTTGAGTGAAATTCAGTTCTTTGGGACATTTTGTTCCCTCACATTCCATGTTGCCATTTAAATTCTTTCTCAAATGTTCCCCTGCCCACATACACAACCAGTGGCTGCTCCTGCAGGGGTATAAGGATTGCTGTGGTAGAGTATCTATACCTGAGCTTTTGACCTCAGCTGAATCCAATGATCCTGAAAAGAAATTGGTCCTTTAGGGCCTGATTTATCTGATCTGTGCCAGACTGCTGTGTTGGGATGAGTTCAGCCCTGCTCCAGACCCTACAGGCTGTGGTGACCATGAGAAGGGTCAGCACAACTTGCTGACATGTAAGGATTTTGTGGAGGTGGCTCCACTCCTGCCCAGAGTGCTCCCCTGCCAGGACAGGAGTGGGATGCTGCATTTGCCCTTTTCTGTAGCTCCTCCAGTCCATAGGGATCTGTCCCCTGCCACAGGGGCTGCCTGTGTGCAGGAAGGTCCATGACCACCATCTGCTGGAGAAGTCCCATGTTCAGGATCACTTCCCTCTCTCCCTGCCCAGGGGCCCTCCCCAAACTCAGCAATGGACTCTTGTCTGCAGCCAGAAGTGCTCTGGAGCCCTCACAGTCTCAGGAACACGTGGCTGCCCAGGTTCTCCAGCTTGGCTTCCCTTCTTCAGCCCCCAAATCATCCACCCAAGAGCCTGCAGGTGTCAGGGCATTGCTCCAGAGCACCCTTCCTGACAGGATCCAGCACACACTGCTGTTCCACAGAGCTTCTGCTTCCTTCTGCTGGGCTGCAGGCTTTTTTCTCTGGGGCTAGAAAAGGGAGAAGCTTCCAGTTTGGGAGTGAAGCAGCAATGCTGATATAATTTAGTTTTCCTAGCCTGTTAATCTGGCTGTTCATTTTATGAGTAACCTTCAGAACTGGTGATAGCCATTTATGGACTTTTTAAAATCTATGGATTTCACATAAAACTGTTCATGTAAGGTGCCAGACTCATACAGCTGGAGAAAAAGAATTTGCACTAACACTGTGTTACAATCCCATTAAGGCAGATACAGGCAGGGAAATCCTGAGGAGCTAGTGTAGGACAGAATAGAGGAGATTGTCCTTGGAGGCACTTATTTCTATTTATTTCTCTCAAAGACACAGTTGGCTTAGATTGGACACTGACTAGTGGGTGTCAGGTGACATAGAGCCTCAACATGCTGCTCTCACTTCTGGAAATTTAGAGTTCATAAGAACTGCCAGTGTGAAGCTCCCCCAAAAAGCTGAGCAGAAGATTTGGCATCAAGTTTGGCATCCAGGTAGTAAAGAACTCCCAAGTGGTGTCATTTTCCTCTTTCACAGTTCGGTCATAAATACAAACTGGAGGCAGAAAAACTTCTTACTTTCCAAGACTCTTCTAAAGCCATGAAGCACTCAAGTGGCATGGCTGGGTACCATAAAATAGAGAATACACTAAGAATTTCCCATTGCTGCCAGGTTTGGGAGTTAATATATGCATGAAAAAGGGAAGGAGGAAACATTAACAGTATTCAATGAAAGAGTAGACAGGAACCTGCTGTTTTTTGATCAAAGTTAGGCTATTTACTGAATCAAAACCCTGATGTGATTGTCACCCTCACATGAGCAGTGTGGCTCCTGGGCCTGTTCTGGAGTTGGGCTGTGTAACAGCTCTGAGCTGCCATGAGTTAACAGAGGAAACCCCTGCTTTTCCATGTGGAATGTGTGGAGTTGACTCCCACTGCTGGCAACCTGGCAAGGTGGCATTAAAGGAAATTGTGACTGAGGGGTGCAGGAAGTGATGCTGAAATACCTGAGTTCTCTTACCAAACTTCTGAATGTTTGGCTCTGCAGCCTGAAACTCATTAGAATGACATTATGTAGATTTGCATGTTCTTTTCAGAGAGGTTACTTCTAATTCCATAATTAAATAATCAACGGAGAAACAAAACAGTTCCTATGCCCTCCAGACCAGGAGGGAGTTGTTGGTTCTTCATTTCAGTTAACACACGTGCGCTGAACTTCTCATGGCAGTGGACCAGGTTTTCAAATTTTTTATGGAAAAATAAATGACTGCAGATGGGTCTGACTAACCCATTTCTCTTGTTCCAGGATGCCAAAGGACGTCCTGCATCCTTGCAGCACTAGCCCTGATGCAGCCTGGCTGCTGACACAGTGGCCATATCCGGGTGTCTGTGGGGAGATTGCTGCACCTCTGTACCCCCTGTCTTTCCTTTCCAGGCACACCTACTTGGAGAAGTTCCTGACAGAGCAGATGATGGAGAGGAGAGAGGACGTTTGGCTGCCGCTGATCTCGTACCGGAACTCGCTGGTGACGGGCGGCGAGGACGACAGGATGTCCGTGAACAGCGGCAGCAGCAGCAGCAAGGCCTCCTCCGTGAGGAACAAGAAGGGCCGACCCCCCCTCCACAAAAAGAGAGTGGAAGGTTAGTGAGGGCACAGGGCTTTGCATTCTGGACACTCAGGGGGCTTTACCAGTCCACGCAGAAATACGTGATACGTTCTGGATCTGGCAGAACCAAGGCATCTGTTCTGCTGGTTCTGCCAGGCCTGGGCATGTCTTTAGGGGAAATAGCACCACAGACCCCTGTTCTTGTTTGTCTTGACCAAGATTGGCAATCAGAACTGTTAAAAGCTGTTACTGCTGCTGGAAGAGGTGTTTGTGGAGTTACCTGCACTTTCTCACTCCTGGACTGCTGATTTCTGCCTGTGGTTCCCTCTGGGGAGTTGTTAATTCTCAGGGATTTGGAGCAGAAATTCTGATAACAGATCTCTGTTGTTGCAGGGCCATTGAGAACACTAAAAAGACACCATTCTTGTTTAAAATACTACTGATATCGAGTGTTGTCTGCATTTACTCTTTCTAGGACCTCAGATGTGTTCATCAGGAAAATGGCTGTGATAGCAAATTTCTTACAAGGCTGCATCAGTTCCTGGTCAATCTGTGTGCTGTAGTGTAGACTTCTGTGAATACTAATTTGCTGTTCCACTATACAGTAGATGTGCATGGGATCTTAAACTTCAAGGGTTTTTCCACAGGCAGTATCTATGACAGTAACCCCTCAGTAAGGAATCTAGTGCCCATTTGCCTGAATATACAGTCATTCCCAAAATACTCCTCAAAAGTTTGCCCATACAGCCAGGTCCATTCTCCACTGCAGCTCAGGGTGAGCAGTCCCTGCACCAAGTCCTTCTCACAGCCTCCAGTGTAGGTACATAAAATACTGGCTCCTTTCCTCAGGTACTGTTTTTCTTCTTTCAAGATGCCAAAATTTTCACAGAATTCAGCTACTGAGGTTTTCTTCTTTCCTCTTCTTGCCATTTTCATTCTAGTCTGCTGTATTTTACCATTTTTTTTTCACCCTGGGAGGCATAGGAACATCTTTGGAAACACCTAAGGAAAACCTCAGGCTTAAGATGTAGTTTTTAGACTTTGCTTACCTCATACTCTTTTGTGTCACCCTCTTTCAGTGATCGGTAGAAGGGAGAATTGATTTCCAACACTTTCCATTTGAGAATCTCCTTTGGTTTTTTTGTTTCTTTAATTTCTGCTCTAAAGGATCTGACAGAAAGGTCACTGCAGAAATTACTGTGGCATCAATGAACCATATTCAGTCCCCTCTGGTTCCTTTCTCACCTAAATCCAGCACAGACTGGCTTGGAGAACAATCCCTGTTGCTTCTGAGAGGAAATGTGCTCTGTGACATTTCTTCACGATGCTGTAAGGAAATCAATAGCTTTTTAAAAATAATCCATAACATAAAAATGATTCAAAGGTAAATTTGAGAATAAATAGGCAGATTTTTAAACAACATTTATGCCTAAAGGGTAGTAAAAGGCAATGGAAGAATGAGCAGATCCATGGAGATCCCAATCTGCTCTTCTCACCACACATTTCCTGTTAGTAAATCAGTGATCTTGTCATCTCTCTTGTCATCTCCTGTCTTTTTCTCCAGCAACTGAATTTTTTTCTACATTTTTCTCTGGCTGCACGCTTCCTGCTCTAACCCATTCTCAAGTCCTCCCTCTTCCCTCCTCTCTGCTTTGCTCCCTTCCCAACATAAGCACAGGATCCCAGCTAGACCTTCAGTCATTTTTATCTCATTTTTATTCCTAAGTGTCCCCTCCCTGCTCCACTCCAGTGGTTCTGGCAGTTTTAAAGATCTGGAGTGACCAGATTTTGGGGTTTGTGCTCACCTTGTCTTAGTGTTTAACTCGATCTTGGTTGCTGTAGGTGCATGAGATTAACAATCCCCAGTTGTATACTCGAGAATTGGGAATTACCTTGGTTGCTTATGTTCAAGATACTGCAGCACAGCCTCGACTGCTGGGTATGACTTTGTTTGCAATGGGGTTTGTGTTTGTTCCCTTTAAATTTTTGTTATTGCTGGGAATAGAGGGTAGTAATACTTAAAACAGAATCTAAAATTAGAACTGAAAATCTTACCATTCCAAGCATTTATCCAGGTGATCCCTTAGTGCACATTTGTTTGAATGCTGCCCTGCATGTGGTCAGAAATCAGCAGTGATTTCAGTGTTCTCTCTCTAGATGAGAGCCTGGAAGGCTCCTGGCTGAACAGGAATGAGAATATCCATACTCCAGGGACACTGCAGACACCTCAGCTCACATCCACTGTCCTGAGAGAGAACACCAGACAAATGGGAGAGCAGATCCAGGAGCATGAGTCGGAGCAGGGATCTGAACAGGATTTTTTACACAAGTAAGTCTTGGAATTTCAGCATCAAGTACAGTCAGCCAGGCAAAGGAATTGTTTGTGGGTTATAGTGATACTGTTAGCCTGTGGCTCCAGAGATGCAGTGTTGATTTGCAAAGCCACCTGGAAATGCCTTGACTACAGCTCAGCAATACTTGGATTGTCTTCAGGTCCCAGAAAAATATGTTGTAACGGAATAATAGTAGAAATTCCTTATGTTAAAACTACCTCATAGCATAGCCATGCAGTTCCTGTCAAATCATCCTAGTGCTTGTGTCCCAGGCTGGGTGGAACTGTTTCTTTGTAAGACCTGTAGATATTCACTTTTCTTTCCCCCTGCCTGATATCAGACTTAAGGTTCTCCAGACACCCTGTCTGATATTTTCTGTATTTCCAGCTGTTGAGCTAGTAATTCCTGATCTGAGGTAATTGTCCTAAATTATATATTATTTTTGTCCCTTTGCTCCCATTTTATCACCTCCATTTAGAGGGAAACTTTGGTTATTTCCTGTCAGTGGGTGTTGCCAGCAGGTGCTGCCAGGAAGCAGCAGGTGAGCACAGGCTGGTTGGTGGCATCAGCAGTGCAGCCTGGAAGGTATTTACACATGGGTGAGGTACTGGCCTTTAGGTTGATCAGGGTATTTGTGCAAAAACCATTTGTTTTTTGTGCAAAAACCATTTTTGTCAGTTACTAATTTGGATCCATTCTTGCTCATATTTTGCCTCATCTGACACAATAAAGTACTATTTAATAGTAACAAACTTTAGAGGTGCTCCTGGTCCAGGTGCCTGCCCCTAATGAAGGAGCAATGTCACTGTTTCCATACCTGCTTTTATTGCAACAGTTAATTGGGTTTTTTTGTGCACATACAGTGAGAGGAGACAGACTGTGGAAGGGAATCCAGAAGATGTGTACAATGATGGATGGGATTTAATTATCTTAATCTGAAGCATGGCCAGACACAGAACTTGGAGATAGAAACTGCTCCACAGTAGGCAGCTCAGAACTGTTACTGCTGTCAGTCCTAACTTATTCCCTGTGTGTTAGTCCCCAGATGCAGATCTCGTGGCTGGGCCAGCAGAAGCTGGAGGATCTCAATCGAAAGGACAGGACAGGAATGAACTACATGAAAGGCAGAAGTGGTGTAAGGCATGCAGTGTAAGTGCTCACAGCCTGCTGCCCTCAGCAGAACCATGTGCAGGACACACAGTGCATGTTCCCTTTCCTGCTGGTTGCCAGTCATTCCTGTGCCTTTCTGCTGAAGGCAGAGGGACAGTTTGTAGTGCTGGGATGGATCCAGCCCAGCACTGCCATTCTCTGATTGTGGCCAGACACCAGGCCCAGTGACAAGGTGCAGTTCCCCATTCCTCAGAGGGGTTCCATGATTTGTGTTCTGTGTGATTGCCTGTCAGCTCTGCCCACAAGCCTGTTCCTGTCTGTGCTCTCCAGCCTTTTTTGCCAAGGTGTCCCCCCGTGCAGTAATAGAGGGAACACACATGGGTGAACACTGGGGCACCACATGCCCTGTACTGATCCCACAGAGTCATTCAGCACGGGCTGGAATCCTTACAGCCTTTGGAACTGGGCTTGAAGGCACTGCTGGAGTCACAGGACTTTACCAGTGATCCTGGCAAACAGTGTCACTCCTCCTTGTTAAAGGGCAGGCAAAGATGAGTTACTGCCCTGTTCTTGTTGGGGACAACTTCAATTACTGGTCATAGGGCTCTCAGTGGGACTGGCCCAGGGTTTGGGGAGGGGTGTGTACGTGTGATTTTCCTGTTTGGTATTCCAGAGAGCCTGTTGGCTTTACCCTCAGCATCAGGGTTTGAGTGAAGGCATTAAATGATAGGATTTGAGCATTCTTTTTAATGACAAAGATCAGGGCTAGGAAGTTTTTCTGCTTGGAAATGACCCTCTCTCTATTTAATCAGACGAGGTCTAATGGAAGATGACGCTGAGCCGATCTTTGAAGATGTAATGATGTCCTCACGAGGCCAGCTAGAGGACATGAATGAAGAATTTGAGGACACAATGGTCATTGATCTGGTCAGTAAATTTTATCAATGGCAAGTTTAATATAGTTGAAAGCTAATTTAAAAGGAATTTTGGAAGTGTAAACAAAAATTTCCAAAATTTTGAGTCTGGCCTCTGGTTGTCTGAATGTTAGAGTGGAAATGATGTGAGCACTTCCCAGAGCTCCAGCTGCAGGCTCAAGCCCAGTGGGTTTGTTCCACTGCCGCACAAGCTTTGCTTAGTGCTCCTTCTTCCCAAGACTGATTCTTGGGCAGCTTCTGGCAGCAGCACCATCACACACCTCGGACTTGTCAGCCCACAGGGATCAGGTTATGAGTTACAGCCTGTGCTGACATGGCTCTTTATTGCAGCCACAACGTGTCAGACTGGCACAGCCAAGGGGTCCTTCTCTTTCCCTTCCCTGTTAGCCTGAGGACATAGGCGGGGCAGGGGATTCTTACTCAAGGTCTCAGTAGGTCACAGCCAGAGTCCTGCCGGCACAGCAGGAGGGAGCACAAGCACTGGTGTGTGGGTGGGAGCTCCTTAAACAGGAATTGCTCCCAAACAGGTCCCATCATCAAGGGCACCCTCAGTCCCTTCCAGCTGCTGGGAGAAGTTCCTTGCAGCGCTTACAACCTTAACTGAGTGCCCCTCTGGAATGACTGCTCCCTTGTAAAATGGGATAAAGGAGCAGTTTGCTTTACACATCTCACCATTTTTATGCTTTTCTGTTTGTCCTTTCACATCCAAACAACAAGCCCTAGGTTATATTAGGATTGGCCTAACTGTCTTGGGAAAGGCTGCTGCATTCTGAGGTTATTGCCAGCACTCATGTAATTACCAAGTAACATCCAAGGCAAGGAAAGGAAGAAATTGATCAAGCCAGTGAGGCTCACACTTACTCTTGTGCTCGTGGGGAAGGACATCACCAAGGGTTCAAGCCTCAGAAATATTTCAATATCTTCCATACCCTTTTTGTTGGTAAATCTATTTTTGACCATGTCAGAGCTCAAGTTTCTCTATAAATTTTCGAAGCATAAAGACAGTTAAGAGGGAGTTTCTGTGCAGTCTCAATCCTGATACAGAAACATCCTTAAGTCAGCAAGAACCTTGGGCAAGTCCTTAACTATGAACACAGAGTTAGAACTAGAAGCCACCAGCTTTTACGGCATTCTTTCAGTAGTAAAGAGTCGAGGGAGCGCTGTCCTGTGTCAGGGCTGACTTTGCCCCCGAGGTTGTGTGGCGCTGGGGGGAAGGTGAGGGGCAGGCACAGGTGGCTCTGTGGCGGGCAGGGCTCCCTGTCCCTGTGCTGTTCCAACCCCCGTGTGTTGCAGCCGCCGTCGCGGAACCGGCGCGAGCGCGCGGAGCTGCGGCCGGACTTCTTCGACTCGGCGGCGATCATCGAGGACGACTCAGTAAGGCCTGGCTCCTTCTGCTTGCTTTCAGCTCCGCCCTTGTCCTGCAACACATAACCACTGTCTTTTCCCCCCTTTTTCAGGGATTTGGCATGCCCATGTTCTGAAGTCTGGCGAAGACCTTTTACAAACTTGGAACTCTATTGTTTAGAGCTAGAGGCCTATATACTGTGATAGCTTGTATGAAAACCACATTTTTGATGTGATACGGTTTGATTTTTAACCAAATGATTGAGGTCAACCCCTTGGTGTAGTGACGGAGAGAAGAGGAACTTCTTAATGACACACGGGAATGTTGGCCAATCCAGTCACCTCAGAAGGGCTGACCTAAAAAATCATTTGTATCCCTGTTCTTGACTGTCCTAATATGGATTTTTTTTTTTTTTTTCTGGATGAGGAGGAAGTTTTAAATTGTTAAGACAGCTATCAAAATAAACACTGTTCTACATATGTTTTCTGAAAACAACATTGAGTGAAAACAGAACTTTTTTAACTTTATTTTTCTGCTGTACAATTTAAAACAGTTTTAACATTTGCCTTTTTATGTTTTCAGAGCTAGCCATTTTTATTAAACCTATGCCTATCAGCCACTGACTAGCAAGGCTGCTGTAAGCAGGTCGTTCTGGCTACGGAAAAGTGTTTTGGAACACACTGGATTTGATTAACATTATGGTACGCTTATGTCCTCTCATAGGCATGGAGAAGAACACTCTCAGAGAAGAGGTTAGAATTCTAATGACGTGCATCTCTGCCAAAAAATTTCAGATTCTGATATGATAAACCCAGATTTTATACTCTTGAGAAGATTTATTTTTATTTATAATGGGACATAAAGTAAGAGATGTCCATGAAGCCACTTTTCCAACAGATGCTGTGTAACATTCATTTTATATAGCACATGGGGACACAAAACCAGTAAATTTTCTATTGGTACTTGCTCTGTGCATTTTTAGCAACTTATACCAGCAAATAAAGTATTCTCAGTAAAACACACAAATGGTTCTCAAGTAATCACTTTGCTGTTTTTACTACCTACTTCAAGCCTGCCAACACAAGGTACATAAACAGCAACTTTCCTATTAAAAAAAAAATAGTTCAAGGGTGGGGGAAAGGATCACTTTAGCATACTAAAAGTAATTTTAACTGTACCATAAAACAGAGTCTACTTTCCATGCCGTAAATACCCTTTTCGCTATTTTTGTAAATTAATTTTGCCAGTTAGAAGTACTGTATGTGCTGCATAGAAATTTGTGCTTAGATGGTGAAGTTCTTAAGCTTACAATGGACTACAGCTACATTTTCAGTGTTAACTGTGCATATTGAGAGTAATTCTTTGGAAAAAAAAAAGATTTTTCAAAAAAGCTAAAAACATCAAAAAAAAATCCAAAAAAACCCCCAAAACATTCTCAGCTAATTCATTGTACTAAGATATTTTTCAATGTCTTCAGTAATTTGGAATTTCATTATGCTTCGATTTTATGACTCGACATAGTAGCTGCTCCTTACCCAGCCTGGCCTGGCACCACTAGTGCTGGCCCTCCACAGCTCCAGATCTCCAACAACTGGCCCCAAAATCTTCATCTTTCTACACTCAGTAGCAGTTGGGATACAAAGCAGACTGACCCACTTGGAGCACAGCAGTTTCAGAGGTGCTTTAGTTTTAGCAACTGCAGAATAATCATGGAGCTTTTTTCTGTTTCAAGCTTACTGGACACCAGCCCAAACCCTCAGTGCCCAGCACGGGCAGGGAAAGAGCCCAAATTCACCCAGCCCAGCACCTCACCCAGCTGAGCTTGGCTCTCACAACACGTGCAGTTCTTAGACACGGTTGCCAAAAATGTTTGACCAGGTAATTCAGCCATTCCTTCATGTGGGCTGGGGATGTATTGGTCCCAAAAAGTAGCTGGAACTTTATAAACCCCATTACCTCCCTCTGTGCACCCCCAGGGCCTGGGGGCAGGAATGGCTGCAGGACCTGTCCCAGGATCACTCTGTGAGCATGGTGGCACAACAGATGCTGCCCAGTTTGAGTCTCAGACAAACCTTGTGCTTCACAGTCCTCTGTGTGGAAAACTGATTCCTAATTTAACATTGTAGAATACTGTATAACAAACATTTATTATCATGGTACCTGCAATGGGTCTCCAGTTCAGTTTGCAGTCAATAGGTTTTTGTATTATGAGTGTCTCCTTGATTGGTTTTGCTAGTAATTCTGTAAATTGTACATTTACAATATGAGGTTTTTTTTTTTCCTTTTGTACAATTTAAAACTGATGCTTCACCTTTCATTTAATAAACTATTCAAAATCATGAGTATGATGAGCACCCTCTTCACTATAGTTTTCTTTTAAGTGTTTGTTTGGACCATCACATTTTGTCATTCCATTAAGTAGTAGGAATTCAAGGAATTATTAAAGGCAAAACTGACAGGTAGTTTTCATGTAGTCCAGGCTTCACAACCGGATCTGTACCCCACTCCCTTACCCACGCAGCCTCAAGAGTGATGGAAACCCTCTCTGGGCTTCTTTCTCCCCTCCACCGTGGTGTGGTGTGGTTGGGGGGCGGTGAATGTGAGAGTCCTGTAAATCTGGGAAGGTCCCACACCAGATGCAAGAGACGCACTGCTAAAACTTAAAATTTCTTGAAATGCCACAAGGTTTGAGAAGAATTTCTCTCTTTTGCCCTATATGTCTGAAGTGACCTGGATTCTGTGGGAAGAAACTGCCATGGGAAAGGCTTGAAAGTTCTAACAACCAGCTGGGCTAAATGAAGTTTCACAGATTCCTGAAACAAAATGCCCATGCTACTCCCATGTCTCAGGGAGCAAGGTGCTATTTTTGTCCAACCCCTGAAAGATTTCATCTCTGTAGTGCTAAAAAAAACTGACTGCTTTATCACCTGGCCCATTTCCTAAGGAAAAATCATTGGAGTTACGAAAAGGAACAAGATGCAGCAGCTGAGGCACAGGGATGATTCAAAGTCTCAACTACTCCCAAGACAGCCTGAAAGCTCAGTCTCCAAATGCTTGTAAGTTATGGCAACTCCTGCTGCACTGAGGAGCACAGTAAGTAATTTGCCTTGCTGCTAAATTCAAGGGCTACACAATGTTTAAGGGATTTAACTGTACTTCTTGGGTTTTTTTTTTAGGTGACTGGACCTGGAAATTCTCAGAAGCCTGGTCAGAGCAGCTTTCGAGCCTGTTTCCAACATGTCCTGGTAGAGAACTGCCTATTTGGAAATGGAGAGGGTCTGAAAGCCCAATTCTTGTGCTGGCAAGAGATGGGAGAGAGGATGGAGACTAGCAGTACTGAGGTTAGGAAACAACTAACAAAGCTGTACTTTCCTCTTTATGACAAGTGGGTTTCTCATGGATTGTCTCCTGACTCTGGGCAAGTTGAAGAAGCTGTGTATATATATATATATATATATCCCTTCACCTATAACAGCTTCTGCCTCTAAACCAGCTTTAAATCTTCTTGGGCATTATAAACCCTTACAGTTTTCTCACAGTTAGTTAGGAACTCCCACCATGGCCATGACGCCCATGACAGTAGCATTTTAATTTACCTTTCCTTGTTGCTGCAGTGAGCTCTGTTCCCTGGGACAGCACCAAGAGCTTTTTCATGCTGAAGTACAAACATGTGCCACAGCCAGGACAGCCAGTGTCTCTCCAACCTGAAGGTGCTGCCTCCCATGCATCCAAAAACCTGGGGAGCTGGAACTCTCTTTTTATATTGTGCTTTTAGATGATGTTTAGCTGTTGGTTTCCCCTGCTCCCGCACCAGGTAGAGGCTCCAAGCTCCACAGCTCTACTCGCTGCACTTTGCTGGGAAGAGAAGCTGCCTGGGACACGGCCATCCTGCCCCTCTCCTCCTTCAGGCTCATGCTGGGGAGTGAGCAGCAGCAGCAGCTGCAGAGCAGTAGGGAGGCTCTGTCACACAACAAATGGCAGTTACTCAGAGCAGCCAGGTGACTACAGCAGCAGCAGTGAATGTGACAGTGGCTGCTCCTCACTGCCTTGGGGCTGGAGGGAAGTTGCAGCTTCTACTGAGCAGGTGAGCACAGGCACAGGGCTGAGCAGAGTAACACCTGCAGTGCTTCCTGACAAGGCTGGCAAATAATGCCCAGAGAAAGGAGGCTGGAAGGGACCTCTGGAGGTCTCCGTTCCAGCCTCTGCTGAGGGAGGAGGGTTTGCATGTCCCACCAAAACTGCCCTTTTTTGTCTGCTGTCCTTAAGAGGAGGCTGGCTGTGCCTCCCCTGTGCTGCCCACCTCTGTCCTGGGGCTCTGAGACCCAGCTGCTGCAGCCAGCAGGGAAAAACTGCCACAGGCCCAGACTAACAGAGGAACAGAACAACTGGGTCCAGGATCAGCAGGGCCTGCTCTCCAGGGCACTGGAACCCAAGCTCAGGATTTTCCTCTCTGAGTCAGTGGTGCAGCAAGAGGAGTCAGATTCCAAGGTCTGTGGCCAATGGAATGCCCTTGAACTCTACAGGGGTCCAACTTCCCAGCAGTGGGAGGTGGCTCAGTCCTGCCTGAGCCTGAGGGAGACAAGGGAATGTTTGACCTTGAGCAATTAGTAACAGCTCACCTGCAGCAGGCAGGGCAGAGTGTTGAGTATTAACCACCAAGAAAGGGTTTAGAGAGGTGAGCTGGTCAGACACCAAAACTAAATATATACTGTGATTTATTGATGATTATTGGCAAAAATCAAAATGAAAATAACTATTTATATTGCCAAACGGACCTCCATTAACCAGAGAGTTAACCAGAATTTGTGTTCAGAATGTCTCCCAGCATGGGCAGCCCCTGCTCACCCTCACAGTGGGATGTTGGCATGTTTCTTCCAAGGACTGGACTGGGATTTACTGGCCAGTATATCAAGGTCATGGCAGATGCGTGTGCGGGTGCTTGAAGGCTGGATGATGTCATCAACAAACCCTGCAAAAGATTAAAACAAAAAAAACCTTAACCTGACCAACCATTAAGTGTTTGCCTCCCAGCCTTCCGTATCTAGGCTAACCCATAAGGTAGCCTAAATCAAAAGTTATAGATTAACTACATTTAAAATAGACTGAGAAGGAAACATTCCTGAGTCAATTTTTAAATTGTGACTGAAACTTGCATTTTAGAGCACAGTTACTGCCCCAAAACTGGAAGTAAAAACAGTGGAAAAACTTGCTCCTGAGAGTTCTGGAGAACATAACTGGGCCCTTTCTTCAGGCCACTGCTTTGCATCTAGGGCTGCAAAACAGATTGTCAAAGCATCGTGTGCTATAAAGGAAAAGGCTGAATTTTGAGACCCCTTCTACTATCTACACAATTGAAAATGCACTTTGCAGAGCAGTCCCCACTTTTCACCATGCTCTTTGCAGCTGAAGATGTGTCTTGCATCCTGATGTTGTCCACATGCACAGGCTGTGGTTAAGCATCACCTAACTCAGACACAACTCTCTTACCTAAATAACTTAATTGTTAGCAAAAGATTTACTCAACAGCACAACTTTATCTCCATGCAATGGCAAACCAAATTGAACACAGTGTGGGAGACAACCATACCTCTTACAGCAGCAGGGAAGGGGTTTGCAAACTTATCCACATACTCCTCCTCTGCATTTGCCTCCTTTCCTCTGAAGATGATCTGGACAGCACCCTGGGAACACAAGGGCTCGGTCAGTGACAGCCCCTCAGGCCATGCCCCACAGGTGAGGGCATGGGAGCATCCACCCTGCCTGCAGCACCAGGACAGCCCATAGTGCTGGCATGGCACTGCTGCTGCTGGCAGGGCACTGCTGCACCACAGTGACAGGGCCCGGACTCACCTTGGCTCCCATGACAGCCACCTCAGCTGTGGGCCAGGCGTAATTCAAATCTCCTCGTAAGTGCTTGGAGCTCATCACATCATAGGCACCCCCGTAGGCCTGTAACACAAACCAGGGCATCCACTCCAGGAGTGGCCTTGCAGCAGCAACAGCCTGCATTGCTCCTGCAGCTTTTTCTAGTCCAAAGACAAGCAGCTGGGGCTAGATTTTGCCTGAAGAGCATGAGCATCTCCACTTTGTGGCAGCAATCTCCTAGGAACAGACACCACTTCAGCTAGAGCCCCATAAGAGCAAGGAAGGGGGCTGCTGGTGGTAACCAAGCCCATTTGCAAGGCAGGCAGGAAGGGGTCAGTGTGTATCCAGACCAGGAGGCCTCAACCTGCACCCTGCACATGCACACAAACCAACCATGCGATGTGTTTCTGGAAATTCCTGGCCAGGGAATGCAGCACTCGGGCTCTGCAGTGCTCCACTCTGGAACTGGAAATGCTCCAGACAGCAGTGATGAACAGATACTGCAGGACTGCAGTGCAGTCCCTGTCAGGGCAGTACTGAACAGTGCAGCAAGGCTGCAGGATTGAAAAGTACTGCATGGAAACACTTGGAACAATCAGAGAAGGCAAAGGAACAGAAAGTTCTTTTTGATTTTTGCTGTGATAAGCCAAAAGCTTATCAGAAAAATGAGCAGGAGGGGCAGAGGAGCAAGAAGGCAAAGGCTGTAAGGTGCCAGCCCAGAGCTTATGGCAGTAGGGTGTTGGGTACGTTACGGAGAAAGGAAGATGAGGTAAAGCATAACAAAAGTGTGGGGGGGAAAAGAAGCCACATTGAGTGTTCAACCTAAAGACACAACAGAGGACAGATGCAGCCAGTGCTGGGTTTGCAGAGGGAGGCTCAGAAGGCAAAAGAGGAGAAAGCTGAATTGCTGCAAACAGATGGCAGTGAGACAGGCTGGGTGACATGGGACAAGTACTTGCCTGAAGGCATTCCAGAGGGAAAGCAAGGAGCAGAAACTGGAAGTTCCAGATGGGTACAGAGACAGGAGGAAGGAAGGAACTGAGGTAGTGGTCTGGGAATAGAAGTGGCCTCTTGTAATGTTACAAAGAGGTGTTACCAAATGGGACAAACAGAAATGCAACAGTGATAGAAAGCACCACTGGGACACACAGACAAAGCTTGGTTTAATGAAAATTGCCACTAGTGCAAAGAGGAAGATCTCCATGGAATTTGCCAGCTTACCTTTCTGGTGATGACAGTGATCTTAGGCACAGTTGCCTCTGCAAAGGCAAACAGCAGCTTGGCACCATGACGTATAATCCCCCCGTACTCCTGAGCCGTGCCTGCAAAGGACAGGGAATTGCTTCACTCAGGGAATTCACACAACCCCATCATCTGTCACCAGGAGCAAACCTGCCCACCACCACAGCCATGTTAATACCCTGGAGAAGATCATGCCAGGCAGTGTGCTTGGCAAGATACTGAACAACTCAAAAATCAGAGC